AGTATTACCAATGGAACAATAATTAAAAAAGAAAAGTAAAGTGATGAACAAACCATTAAACCGCTTCATCATCATCGAAAATGGTTTCGTAGGTCCCAAAATGAAATGATTTAAGCATGGCTTCAGGATTAACTGCTAAAACATTTCGATAACAGATCTGAATATTGCAAACATGTAACTCCAAACGGCATGTACATTATGTTCATGAACAAAGTATCTAGGAGGCGGTATGGCAAACAAAATATTCCATTAGATGCATGCATCAATGTGTGTCATTTCAACATTATAATTAGAGCGAATGTATATCTGGGTAGATTTCCTAAAAAATAACAATTATAAGGAGTTTCAACGGGAGCCGTTACGTATGTCCATAACACGACCAAGCAATCTCAAGACAAATTTAACCGCGGACAATATCTAAGTCTTTCCACACAGTAGCCTCACTATAGCTGGTGGCCATTTTGTCCAATCAGATGTGTTTGTATAGTGTTATGATAAACCTTCATACAAAACTGATAGTTAAAAGAATACTGAATTTTCCCCATATCAGTCACCTCTCAGGATCAGGAATTTCGTCTAAACAAGTGTAATATTTACCATTTTTCATATGAGTCGGACAATATATAGACTCTGACCAATCAGAAGACTCTCTCGATCGGCGGTCATTTTGTTACATCAAAAGATGAACTCCATCGTGGTGTGTTTACATCACAACGTACATGTTCCTGTATACTATTTCCCCAACAAAAATCTGATATCTAAATAGCCACATATAAGAATCCTCCCATCGAACGTCATTATGTTTTCGAGATTATTTTTGTTGAAGTTAAGGAGAATAATATGTATATGGTGTCCTCAAAGTTTCAAAGTTAACATATATATATATGTGTGTGTATCTCGGATAACGGAACGTGACGTGCGATGCAGATCTTCAGTGACAAATATATAAAGTTCCATGGCTGTCGGATTCTTATACAAAAACTTTTTTTATAATTTCTGAGAAAAGTGGAGGAAGCGGCTTGGCCGAAGAAGGAAACAAAGGAAGAAAAATTGAACGACAGTGAAAATAATAACCCCCTTCTTACTCTTTTTTTTGGAGGAGGGAGATCTTACATGTCATTACCGGGTATGCAGTCCTTAAACACGTGTCCACAACTTACAAATTGTAGTTATGTTCATCCAAAATACAACAGTAGGCAAGATCGGTCTGCATAACGCATCGATTCAGCCGTCTATAAAAATGCTTTGGCTGGAATAGTGTTTCTAGAAAAAAATGACTCAATATATGTATTCCAAATCTATTCAGTTTCCTTATCCAGCAAAACTAACATACAGACCTTTATTTCAGCACCCTACTGGGTAAAAATTTCCACACGTGCTCGCTGGTTATTGAAAAAATGTCCATGTTAGATGATCAGAAAAAATATATAACAATAACAGTATATCGTTTACCATAATTTAATGATACCAATAACAAGTATAGTAGATAATGTAAAAGGTTGAGAATCTATCAGCATTGTAACTTTGTAGGCCATTTAAAATACAAAATAAATTGTGTTTGACTTTTTTTTTTACAAATGGTTTGTATAACCATTAAATAAAGTGAGCACTGGTCATTATTATCATATACATATTCCAGATCAAATGACAAACAGTTAACAGTATATTGCAAAACGCAAGGCGTAAAAACAAAAACAAAAAAGACCCAAGGGGCCTGTATCATTCACCTGGTTTGGTTTGAGCACCACCATCTATACATATATATATACTGAAGGAAATGGTCTATGAAGGTTTACTCCTATTTATCCTATTGGATTCCACTCAAGATGGCAGATCCTTGTTTTATACACCAAATAATACTTCAGGAAAAAATGGTCAAAACCTGTTTATCCCTATAGAAGAATGATTTTATATGTTTACTTTTATATCTCTTACTGGGTCCAGTGTGTCTGCCGTTATGGGGAGGACAGAGTGGTGGTGGGTGAAAGGAAGGCGATGATGCTCCAGATAAAGTCCGTTTTACCAAAGGATGTTTTAGACAGAATTTGAACATTGTTCTATCATTCCTACAGGAATCAAAGGATTTCAATGAATTTGTAATATTCTCCCTTTTTGGTCACACCCCTGAAGCCCCAGACTCACCACGTATACAAAACTGATTTCCATTCCCCTTAGAGGTTTCTGACCCAAATGTGATCAACATCTGCAGCAATTTGTTGCACGCAAGAGCCCACAGAGTTCTTGGTGACAACATTGTTTGATCTTTATCTGGTTGTAAAAGTTGGATATTTTCCCTGTTTTCTTTGTTTTTGCTCTTTATTGTATGAAAGTTGAAACTTCCTCTGAAGAAATAGTGATAATAATCTTTAATTATAAAATCAACGATGATCACCTGTTAACGATTCTTATTTTTTCTGATCAGTTTCAAAATGGCTCAATTAGGATCTTAGCACCGACCATTGTTTGATCTCGATTTGTTCTTGAAAAGCTGCATCTGTTTCCTTTTTTCAATTCTTCCCTCTGTTTTTGCTCTTAATCATATGAAATTGGGAAATCCCCCCTAGTTCTTAACTGTCATACCCAAGATGTTGCCTTGTATTTCAGATCAGTCACAGAAACAAAAGGGCACAACTAGGGACCAGCGGTAACCAACATATGAAATATGTGAAAGATCCAGCAATTATTTCTCAAAAAAAAAGGTAATAAACTTTCAGCATCTAAATCCAACATGGCCTCCACCTGGCCATTTTGATTTCCTGATCAAATTAAAAACTGAGAAGGTACACTAACAGACAAAAGACATCTCTATCAAGTTTCATAATAGTGTGCTAAAAAGTTGATGGATAGACGACCAACCCTGCACCATGCCATAAGCACTGGAATGAACATTGTCATTGATCCAAATCAGTGAGGCTTATTGTGAGCATTATTTATCCTAGTGTAGAAAAAACAAGAATAATACAAACAATAAATTACAGTTCAACCTGTAACTAAATCATTATACCTAAATTGTAATAGATACCATTGACAATTCATAAAAAAAGACATATTTCTAGTTAAAAAATTTCTGCATAGTGTGGTGTACATATGTATGAATATGATTTTAAACTACAGAGCTAATTGTAAATATTGTTACAAAATAAACAGGAATGTAAATATCAATATTTTCAAATTGGAAATAATGTAAAGCACTTCATGGAATATTCGTGTCCTTCCTAAAAACACCCTAAAACCAGGCAATTACTGGTATCACCAATTTGTGTACATATATATATATATGTGTGACATCGCACCTCCCAAAAGAATACTGGTACAACCAAACTAAAGTTATGTAAATAATTATGTATGTACAGCCAAAGTGAACGTATGTCAACAGAAATTCATAAACAATATATGTATGTACAAAATGTATGTTGATATTATATAGTATACAGTAAAAGAGACAGTTCAATAATTACTCTGAATGGATACATTTAATTGCACTTTGAAAATTATCATCCTCAGTAATGATCTACTATATTGTAGGAAAATTTAACAGTACACATATATAGTAAAATATCACATTAATATTTTCCTTCAATTAAAGTTTTGAAATAATTTAATTGTGATCACCTAGCCATGATCTTATATTGTGAGGCACTCACATTATCATTACAGCACCAATAATTTATAATAAAATATTTCATATTGTACTTTTGTAAATTACATGCACCCTACATATACAGATGTAAATACTGGGTTTTTGACTCCATTACAGTGTTATGACAGATGATTTATGTACATATTCAGTATACAAAAAAGGAACCAATCCAAGACATATTAAAAATGAATAGAAATAATTGCACTTTGAAAACTATTAGCTTTATGTAATACCCGTTACTAGTTTGTAGGAAACTTTATCAGTCCAAATATATTGTAAAACTTCACATCAATGTTGTCTTTCTTTCAAAGTTTTGAAATAATCTAATTGCGAAATAGATTTGTATACTCATCACATGTTCATGATGTTATGATATGAAGGACTGGCATCATCATTAATGCACCATCAATTTGCAATTAAATATTTCATATTGTACTTTTAAAAAATAAACATTTCCTTCATAAGAAAAATAACAATTCAATAACATTTATGAACAACATATTTAGAACTGAAAGAGAACTTTAAATGTGAAGTTTACAAGTTTTGAACTAGATATTGACAACTTTTGATCCCATTTCCCAACGGAACATTATAACCGATTCTCCTAACAATCCATTCACTGTATGAAAGAGATGTAAAAAATGTAAGTTTATAATCAATGCCATGATGCTATAGGTCATTTGGACTAAATAACCTAAAATAATACATTATACAGTATAACTGGCCCAGATATATATATATGTGTGTGAGATTGGCAGATTCAAAATTGGCAGTAGGAAACTCCTGCTCAAATAGCAGTTCTGTATAAGATCAACATGAAGACACAATAAAGCAGTGTAATAGAATTCATAGAATAAATGTTTCAGGAAGGTGACCTAAAAACGGTAGTCTAAAGTAATGACAACTGGAGATTCTGACATACAGATCAAGTTATGTACTATGTTGTCCATGAATAAAGGGAGAAAACTCTGTTGGATAATGAAAATCTTTAACTGTATATACACAGACATTGTGTTCTTTTTTCCTATAATGGCTGGCAGTATTGGAATCTATTGCTTTTTTATGTCACAGTGATATGACCTTGGAAAAAATCTCCAAGAAATTTAATGTTGCATAATACACAGTAACACTAACTAAAGGCACACTGACAAACCCAAGATAATATTCTTGATACAGCCACTGTAGCCACAAAAATACCAACTTAAAATATAATACCCATTACTGGTTCAGAAAACCACATACACAATGTATACCAATGAATCCACCACCTGTCATCTCACATTCAAAGTCTTAACAATAATCAATTACTAATAACTAAACTAAATTTCTAGTAATTTCTTTTTTTTTGAAACAGGTTCCATTACTTTTCATGACTGGGTAACAATACTTTACTTTAAAATTTTCATGGTTTTCACAAAACTTTCAATAAGAAAAAAAGTGTATTTCACTGTAAAAAAATAGAACATTTTAGAATTTTCTGATTTATTTTTCTGGATCTTAACTCCGAGATGTCTCATCCAGTCATATCTCCTCGAGAAATGCTATTTTCACAATGCATTTTAATAAAGCTGTAGACATACTTTTTACAAAATCTTCATATCTAGTACATGTATGATAAAATATGGTGAAACCAGACTCCCACATGATTTCTGTTTAACATGCTGTTTCATGTTACAGTTAATTAGTCTGTCGTATTGATATACTCTACTATTCCCAGGGTCCCCACCAGCCCCCATGGAGTTCAGGGTTAGAGTTAGGGTCATCCCGAGGATAGACACAAGGTACAGATGTCACATTCAGCTGCTGCAGCTTTGTCAGCATCTTCATCACTAGGTCTGGATAGTATGGTGACAGGTCATGTCTTTCAAGTGGATCTTTATCAATATTAAAAAGCCAAATGTTCTGTTTTGGATTACTAGTGTCGACATCCACGTTGAGTTCCTCTGTAGTCGGCTCTGGTACCCAGCTTCCATTTCCTTCAGTGTACAAACATATATGGTATCAAAGGTGATGTTTGTTTGAATTATTTTTCAGTCCTATGTACATATAACATGTATCAGGTAAGTAGTATTTAAATGTTTCCAACTGACCAACCATCAGAGTCAATAATAATGTGTAGATTTAGATTGCTGCGATCAAAATAAGTAAAGTCAAAGTGGTGAGATATACAGATACCTAGTGCAGGAGTAATATTAACCAGTCCCTGCATGATAGCATGATATGACGACAATAAGACCACCCATTTGTCTTAATCCAAGTCCCAGATGTAATATCCATCTCTTTAAGTAAAAAAAAAAATTACATACCTGGATTACCTGTAATCACCTTCCAGTCTCTCCACCTGAGAGCGGCCCTGTAGCGATTGTCAAATGGACTCTTCTCCAACCTGTTCCCCACAGGCTTTGTCAGGGGATCAATATTGTGCAGCAGTGTTTCTCTGGGGCTCTGAGCTCCTTCACTGAGAAATAAACATATGTGTGGAAAATGTGAATATAACACAGCTGTTAAACAAATAAAACAGTGATATTCATCACACATTTAAAGGAATCCCATATTACATAAGGTCATATATTTGAGATATCATGATTTTAAAGTATTAATGAAAAATAATAAGGTGCTACCTGTTCAAGTAAGGAGAAAGGAAAGTACCTAATAGTATATTTTCATTGTCATGTCACTAAATACTGTTTGTATGAATTATGGAATCGATGCAAAAAGCAAAATAAAATAAAACAGTAATGAAAAAAAAGACTTCTGAAGATACTTTTATAAAATTTTCACACAATGTTTAACAAATAAATATCACATATTAATGGTTCATCAATAAACAAACTGTCAACTGAAACAGATCAAGTAAATTAAATCTAATGGACCTCAATTAACTTGAAATACAGCACAGATAAATACTGACTTTCAGAGCAGAACACACTAATACCTCATGTTTTGTAAGAGCTTGGTGACCGAGGGATACATATTTTGCACACCTGATTGTTTTCCATTGGTCGAATCCATCCAGGGGTTTGGTACCATTTAGGGAGCCCCCTGCCAGTCCTACCAATGTTGGGTACCAGTCTGTCACATGTATGAGTTGAGAAGAAACTTTTCCTTTTTTCTGTAGAGCTTTCCCATGTACAAACCCTACACCATGCATTCCTCCCTCCCAAAGAGATCCTTTCCAGCCTCTAAGGGGCCAGTTGTTGCCACCGGATAATATCTGTCCACCATTGTCTAAAATACATATAATTGTTTAAACTATTTACACATGACAACAAGTGGCCCAAGGGACCTCAATCGCTTACAAAGATGACTTTGTCAGAAAATTAAATCAGTTTCTGCAGACATTCAATCCCCAAGCATGCAGATGCTGAAATACCAAGACATTGGGGATACTGATCATTGAAAAAGAAGTTTTAAAGTTCCAAACACAAATGATCACTGAAAATGGGTGAAAGTCATTCATTTAAACCAGGTTGGTAGCATTTCATCCTAGCCAGAAACAGGTCCAATATCTGAATGCTGAGCTTTGGGCAGGTGAGCTAAAAATACTAGAATGATAACATTTATATTCTTACATTTTTTTCCCTTTGAAATTGACATTTGGGACAGTATTGTTGGACTATAATGCCCAAGAAAATTATCACAAACCTGTGGAGAAGACCATAATGGTATCGTCCCACATCCCTTTGGCCTGAAAAGCTGCTGTGATGTTTCCAACGGCTTCATCCATAGCTGCCACCATTCCTGTTCAAGAAATCCAATAAATAAAGGTGTATAATATAAAGAGTGCAAGGACTTCAGACATTTGATATACAATGTACATATATGTACATATTGTAATATATGGACCTTTATTTTGATTTGTTCACAAGGCTAAGGGCAGACAATCATAGATATGGACATTTAAAAACGAGTAACAAATATTTTTAATGATTTTTTCCCTCATTGTCTCTAATCTCTCTATCATGAATTGGATTTTCTCTTCTGCTGTGATATCTGATAAGTGATTTCCAGGTCCAATGTATCACTTTTGTGAGGAATTAATACAAAGATTATAAAACATATTAGATTGAACAGTACAGAGTTACACCAGACTTATTTTGATTCTGTGCCTTCACATTATCTTATGTTGAAAATGTTGCAGTTAGATTTGTTTTAGTAAAATGATTCACAATGATGTAAATACAAATGTATGCAAGTATTTTCAAATCTATGATGATTGTCAATGTCTTAACCTGAATGATGTGTACCCTTTGGTAACCATATAAAAGACTATGTCAGAACCTGAGCTTTGATTGTACCATCTTCTGAAATTCCTAATAAATCATACACAAAACATAATCTATTAGAGTACTGACCTGCATATATCCGCCTGTTGTGGTTCTTGATGTGAGCATATTTTTCTGTATACCTGGAAGGTACTTGTAATGGGGAGTGGACAGCTTGAAGTGCCAGGTAAAGAAACATGGGCTGAAACATACAATTATAAAACTACCACAATCAATTTTATACCACTTTACCTCAAAATCATAGAGTTTAGCTCAGCTGAGACTTATATTCTGTGACAAAATCTCTTTTGAGGGAAAGCGAAGACTGAAGATGCAAGACTAAACCTGATATATACATGTATCAATCCCAAACACATATTACATACTGTAGGTGATATATTCATTTTTCCTTAATGTATTCTATCTGCATGTACTTCAAATCTTCAACTTTGAGAAACAAGATAAACTAGTCAGTTAAGGTCCCCCACTAACACTACTCACCAAGGTGAACCCATATCCAAACAGGGGTGTAGCTTCCATAGAAAGAAAAAGCCCGGGCTTACACATAAAAAAAATCAGTGGAAAAAGTATGTCGGATAAAATTGCAAAACTAAGTGTGAAAATAAATATCTAACATTTTTGATAAAAAAAAAAAAATATAAATAGAAAATTGTTGAATGACTAGGCCTAGTGAATTTCTTTCTTTATACACGTCATACTAACGTTTACTATCATTTCAACGTTTTTAAATGTTGTTAAAGTGCAAATTTTTAAAGTGAAGAAGGCTTCTGGATTACAGACGTCAATCGACAATTTTTTCAAACAAAATAAAGTCGAATCGAGTGACCACATTAAAAGTGACACATCAAAGACTGAAGGTACATGTAACCAAGATACGGAAGTTGTCATGGACATTTTCAATCAAAAGAACAGAAAGTTTGCTTTTATTTAATCAGGGGTTGAAAGTTTGTTGTTAAATTGATAAGAAAGCCTGTCTCAAAAAACAATTCAAAACATCTTTGAAATCATGAAATTCATTTTCCGTCGGGGCCCCAGACCCCCTCTCTGGCCTTACACATTTCTGCTGGGCTAGCTACGCCCCTGACATAGTATCAAATTCTCATAATCAGTTGTGTAGAAAACAGGGCCAAAATACATTAATATGTAAGCATTTTTTTAAATGTAGGTCAGAGGTCAAAATTAAAATCAAAGTGACCAACTTCTGATATGAGACACACTGTCTCACCAAGGTGAACACATATCAAGTGTTAAGATCTTGTGATTAGTAGTGTAAAAGATAGGGCCCTGACAAACTTTTTATCTGATGTAGATTAAATGTAATAATGTAGATCAGAGTGACCTACTTTTGATAGGTGACACATGAACTCTGTCTTCTAAAGGTGAACACATATACACAGTTAAAGTTCCAATGATAAGATGCATGGAAGACAAGGCCCAGACAAGCGTTTTCTTTGATGTAGCAGAGTGACCTAATTCTTATACAAGACACCCCCATCTCACCAAGATTAACCCATATCCCAAGCATAAAGTTTCGGTAATGAGTGTGTAAGACAGGGCCTGCATCAACTTTTACTTTCATGCAGATAGATCAAAGGTCAAAATGTAGGTCTGAGTGACCTACTTTTGATACAGAATACACCATCTCAATGAGGTGAACCCATATCCAAAGTATAAAGGTTCCACAATCAGTTGTGTAGAAGATAGGGGCCAGACAAAATAGCAGGACAAAACAACACAACACAAAGTTATAGTCCCCTCTGGCTCCTGGCTGGGGACTAATTACTTCTCTTCTGGATAAGGTGTAGGAGACAGCCTGTTAGCAGTAAGGTTTTGTAGGTCAAATATGTTGAGCATAGGACAGACTAAGGAGAAGACTGGGCTAAGTATGTGTTATTTCTATGTATCTGTTTCTATATTCTGGACAGGAGAAAAAAAACATTCTCCACCTCAAAACTGCAAAAGATAATTTCTACCTTTCTTGGAAGATACTAACATTTAAAGCCCAGGCCCTGCTACTGTTTTTGACACTTCAGGATCTTACAATGTGCAAATAATATATACACAACATATCACTACACTTGTAAACACTAAAATCAATATATATCTAATCTGTTAGATTTATCATGCATCACATGGCCAGTGTGACAAGCATATCATTTTCCCCTTCAATATACACGCTGCTGTAGGTGGTTGAGCTGAGATCACAGGACAATGAAATAGTATTTGATGGCATGGTTACTTCAGATGTACACAACTGTATGAGATGGTTTACCACAAGCCATGCACCAGACTCAATGTGTAAGAATTTTAAGTCCTTAGATTTGATCAGTAACAGCTGCTCTTCATGTCTCACATATAACTGTACTGGGCTGAAGATTCTCTATACAGACATAAATCATATATATCTAATCACAGCAGTTTGAGATTTTAGAGTAAAATAAGATTGAGATCAGAACCCTATCTCCATTACAGAATTTGTCAAGGACATAAGGCCCTGGTATATTTTTTCTACTTATAAAACCTCAAACTTGCTGTGATGTGATAATAACATAATACAGGTACAATGTACATATGCCATAAGTTCACAAACAGTTAAATCAAGTTTGAGATAAATTAGAATTCTGGGTACAAGTGTTATTGTTGTACATTATAGTTATCTAATCAAGTCTAAGAAAGTTTACTGGAGTTTTTTTTAAATTCACATTCTGTTACATCTATTTAATTATGTATCAGTTGTGATCTAAGTATTGCAAAAATTTGTTTTTCACAAAATCTAAATATCATAGTTTTTATAGAATGATCATGAACTTTCTCTTAACATGGGCAGAAATCACAATACTGAGATAAAACCCATACTGCAGAAGTAATGTCACATGTAAAATTTTCAAGGCTGATCAAACCTCAACTGTCTTAGTGACAGTTAAGTGTTCTACTGCAACTACCACTAATTATTATGCATCAATGATTAGATGTGGTATAAATCACCTTGGAAGAGTTGTAATTGTTGACCAAATCTATCACACGCTTGCTATACATCTCTGTTGAATATTCCTCTGGATTGGGGACAACAGGTTTGAAATTGTCTCGTAAATCTTTTCCACAAAAATTGCGTCCGCTGCATCGTGATTTTGTGTAGTAATCTTCACTTCCAGTCAAATAGCCTATCATGGATACAAAATAACAAAATTAACAAGATCTGATTCTGGTGAGTAGATTTAAGAAACTTATCAGGTTTTTAGCCTTGCCACCACCAGTCAATAGTGGATCTACTTAACTACTGAGATATAATAAACTAATCTACAGACTTGCTTGGTACATTAGCATTGTCTATTTTCATCTCTCCTGTCTATAAAGAAAGACATCTGTGATTGACATCATAATTTAACTGGCAGATAGAGTGCAGATATCATGCCAGGTTCGATATTCCAGTGTGTCAACACTTTATAAATAATACCTGGTACATGTACATGTATGTATTTTATTTAGGTTCTACAATTCAACTGTTTGGATATTACCTAGTAAATTCGAATGTAGCACTGGATTGCAATAAGAACCATTTGACATACAAATGACTTTATGAATACCAATCAGACACCCGGCATTTGTCTACAAATCACTTCCAAGCATATTTAATGGTATGTGTACCAAAATAACATATATCCAGGAAAAAACATTGTATTCTGAATTTCATTTGAAGTTTTCCAGACATCTAGAATGAATCTTTGCTGGTAGGCTGTTTGATATCAATTTAAAAAGTGCAATTACATGTAGAACATTAAATTCCCTTTTACTGTACTAATGTTCAATCTTATTTGTTTCACTGTTAATATACAGTGCACAACTTCTTTTCATTAAAAAATAATTAAAATCACTGTGATAGTCCCAAGAACAAAACAAGACTAAAAGTTTGATTTTAATGTGCTCAAAAACATTTCATAAAATGACTTAATTGTCATTTGTTTACCATAAAATGTGTCAAAGCCTCTGTTGCAGGGAAGATATTCATCCTTATAGAAGCCCAAGTGCCATTTTCCTACAGCATGTGTGGAGTACCCAGCCTCCCTCATTTTGTCTGGAAGGATGGGACTGTCCCTTGGTAGAGCATTGGGCTGGGGTGCCCAGATTATTCCATGTTGTAAACCTGTGTGGATCTGTAAATTTCATGCAAACAAATGCATTGAGATGAACCATCACATACTTTATCTAATGATCTATATTATATTCCTGCAGCTTTCTTAAGCTTTATCAATGCTTCAATTCTGACTATATACACTTTTCGTAAAGCATTATCTCACATACTTAACACAGAAGAATACCCAAGATTTCTATCCTAAACATTGAATTGATTATTATGCATTAACCTGTACATGTTTTTTTTAAAGATTTAAAACACAGACTGTCACTTCTACTGTCCTATTAAACTGCATAAAAAACTGATTACATTACCAAACAGGAGAACTTTGAAAAACAAATCAGCTATTTCAAAGCTGGTATTTATTAAGAAAAAAAAAAAAACAAAAAAAGCAAGATGATTAAAAAAAGAAATGTACCTGAAGGAAAAACTTCCACATCTATTTAGTTTTATAGATATGTCAGAGTATCCACTCCAGGTGTGCTAATAACACAACAGATTGTTTTCCATTTACAAGTGGGGATAGAGAGAGAGAGAGATGATGAAAATGAGTAAGAAGAAAAGAGATTAGTAAAGGTAAAGTAGATTACATAAAGAATGGACCTTCAGTGTGGAAGATTTGTTATTGATAAATTCATGCCCTCTAAGCATCTTTCATTTCTTCTTAATTAATTAAAGACCGTTGTTTAAATCAAACTTTTTTGACTTTGTTCAACCAGATGGCATAAAATGTAGGATACATTATGTAGTTGTACAATATATTGATATTGCAAAAGTTTGGACCATGGCAGAAATAAAACATATAGATAGTTAGAACCCTTCTGACTAATGTTGCAACTTATTGAACTCATACAGAGGAAGCACACTTGATGATGTGATTTACATCTTCAACTGTTTGAATCGTTATTTTCCTTGTACCTGCAATTGCACATAATTCTTAAGTATATACATGTAAAAGGTTGAATTTAGAATTTAGTATTTTTCAAGCAGGAGATATAAAAATTGAAAAATACATTTTTCTTATTTGTTCCATTACTTGATACGCTGCAAATGACCAGATATCTGCATAATGTACAATGCACATACTTGTGTACACAAATACATTACATTACTTCAACACGAGACAGAGGGAACAGTATTACCTGGTACCTCCCAGACATAAGTTGACTCCTGGTAGGTGTACAGATCGGCTGTACATAGTAATTCTCCAGTCTGACACCTTCTGCTGACAACTTGTCCAGGTTTGGTGTTTTGATTTCCGATCCATGATACCCGATGTCATTGTATCCGTAATCGTCGGCAAGTACAAATAAAATGTGTGGCTGCTTTGCTCCAACAGTTTTTGCGAAACATAACAGTAGAAAGTAGAAAATTTGTGATGGTGTAGAAAAGCTTAACATCGCTCCATACAACAAACAGCAATAGCAAAACAAATCGAAACTAGAAATCGTAGGACTCGTGACCAACCGGAAGTTTAAATGCAGTGACCTGACATCGCTCGCCGGAGATTTACGGAGGCAGCCGAGCGTCTGGTTGAACGAGACTAACATTAAGTACTTGTGGTTTCGACCACGGTTCGGTTCAACGACCTCACAGTGGTTCGGGTCTTTTTAATTTCCGAATAAGAATTTGAAATGATATATATGTTTACACGCACAGTAGACTCTTTTTTATGTATATATCCAAAATGAGCATTGAGGTGTAAAGACATATAGGTAAAGCGTCCTGATACGGGCGGTGGTTTTAGAAAAAAATACACTTGTGTCAAAACCACTTATTTATTAAAGTAAATTCTATTTAACGCACTTAAGTGTCATTTTTCACATTTACATGTGATTTTGTAGTGCTTAAGTGCATACAGTTTACACTTCAGTACTGAAGCACGTAGATTTGACGATTTTATCACATAATGATAAGTAGCTTTAGACTTCAGTACAAAACTTTTCCCATTGATCTAGGTATTTTTGTGTTGTGTTACAACATGTCACAGTTTCCACTTAAGTAACATCACATCTACTGAAGTGTTTTCTCACATAATTTTCACTTAAGTAAATATTGATTTCTATGTTTTAGTGTTTTAACATACCAATTCTACTTAAATAGGTAACGATTTTTTATTAATCATTTTTTTTTAAAAAAATCTTCTTTTAAGAAACACAAAACTTTCATTTACTGTTAGACAAAATTCTAGATTTGTTTAAATATACGACCATTTATATCTGTGTAAACAGTAACATAACATTATATTAATTACTATAAACTACGAGGATATGTTGAATCATATCATTGCCTTAATAATACAGTTACAAACAACCAGCACAATAGAATCTCAATTTTATTTTAAAGTACATGGCATCAACATAAGTTTCAATAAGTCAAATTATTAGTGTAAACATTAAAATTGAAGCAGATCATTGTTTCCTAGGTTACCAAATACGTGCATCACGTAATCAATGTGAATAAACAAAATTCAAACCGATACTTATTCATCGGCATTTCTAATTTCGAGAACAATTGTTTAGTTAAGATACTATCCTCTCAGTTGTCTTAGTAACAGATGTCGATATACCAGCTAGTTTCTTTTTCATGCTATTAAGCTTACTATCGGGTTCTGTCTAAGTACATCTATTCACTCTCTCAATAACTCTCTACGTAATATTTGAACAGAACCATTCAACATGAATTGTATGATTTTCCCGAATGCCTCCATCTGGTTAATACTCATGATCCGCACCATAGATTTTCTATATCGTAGTCATGTGCACATGGTGTATTTCCATGAGAAAATAACTGTCTACAGATAACAGGTGTTCTATTTTCTCGACTTATTACGGCAATGCACGATTCTGTCTGTCCTTCTACCCCAGTACACACTATAATGCCCTGGTCACATGATCATGGACGTATATTGTTTACAATTTAAAATCGAAATCTTAAGAGATTTAGACATTATAACATTGAATTTAACAATTTAATTGAATCTGATACAAAAATGATTCATGACAATATAAAGTTTTTCATTTTTAGAAGCATCAAACACGATTGGCGAAACAGACTGTCATTAGTAGGCAGGACGTTTTCCCTTCTGTCAATTCGTCATCTAGATTTTTTTTCCGATTCTACGTCATTCTCAAAAATCTTCTCAGATAAAAACTGTTTCGTCCATTAAGTGTTTATGAAGCTTTACGACTTGTTTTAGTGTTTCATGTGTCCATATTGTGTGAAGATGTTGTTTGAACAGCTGTATCCTTTACTTTCCTCTTGATCGGGTCGTAATCCATATTGTCTACATTTACACGCAATTTCACATATCTTTTACGAAAATATCTCAGAATTTGTAGTTGATAGTGAATGAATGCTAAACTTTTAACATTTCTTTTCGAACAATGTCCCATCTAGTATTTTCCCCGATCTTATTACAATGCCTAATCTCATGGGTTTTTGATATGTTCAGTCTTTTTAATGAGACAATCTCGACCTTCATATAATCGTTCCAATTACCTAAATGTACATATATAATTCTAGTGTTTTATTCTCCTGTCCCTGTCGACTTTACTTCCCCATTGTTTGCTAAATGGTCAGTCGCTGCCAGTTTTATGTACCATATATGTGATATATAGATATATTGAGATAACGTGTATCACCTATCTGTAATTATTGTAGAATAGGAAAAATATTGGTGACCAAATACAAAAGATTGTGGTGCCAGATATTGGTATTCAAAAGAAATGAAAAAAAATCGCAGTAGGGAAATCGAATCGATCATGCTTAATGCAACTGATTTCATTTCTGACTGGTATATACGATAGACATGGTTATTTAACTTCGTTATTTAAATACAGGATCGGGATCCTTGGCAAAGTCTTCGTGGCCTGTTTGATGAATTCTTGGATAAATTCAACCTTATATGGAAATAAAAACAATTCAACCAAGAGAGGGGCATAGTAAGTTCCCATAAACACACCAGTAGTTCGTTGGAAGGTCGTACTAGCAATCTCAATAAAGACTTTGTCAACCAGTTTCTCTTGCACTTTGCCTTGTTATCATTTCCTCTCCTGAACGAGGAAGCCATTTGTTTTATTTTCCACAAGGACCAAAATAACAGAAGTATTTCCCCCATTTCTTTCACCATTGGCCTTAAAGACTCTGACACAGTATGTGTAAATCGATCTCATTGTCAGAGATACATGTAGGTCTTGGCGGATATGTAGGATAACCGTGATTTCAACTTCCCTATTGTGAGTTTTCCATTTCTGGATAGCAATACTGTGCATCTCCAACCTATGGAATTTACATATCACAGCTGAATCGATGTTCAAGGGCCTCTTCCCATTATCACGATTTTCGTTCTAGAAGTTCGTCAACCGACTGACAAACATAACACAAGAGTTCAAAAGATGCAGGTTGATGAAAATTATGGGGAAGTTTTATGGTCGCCATAATGATCCCATTGTGTACTATTCTATTCCTTTGTGCGACATGAAGCTGGACATACTTGATGCTCGTTATTTTGCTTGTTGGTTCCGTTGTTGTATACCTTTGACATATTATCCTTGTACTTTTTCAGGAGTCTCCGTTTAAATCGTTCATTTGTTCATAGCATGCCCTAGTTTTATGGAATTTGAGTTTGAATTGCCATGATGTTGCCATGTGTGTATTTTCTTTATGTTTTTGATATATATCGTTTGGCATTGGGGCCATAGTTTGAATTGCCTGATATTTTGTCCACTGTAGAGGGGTGGAGTGTGGCAGTTGGATGAAATCTCTGGCTTGGCACATGTTTACATACAATCAAACCTGGAACCTTGTAATTGTCAACAAAGCAACTGAAATTACGGCACTAACTGTGCACTGTGGCAAATCTACTGGTCATGATTTCGTATCTAAATACCATTACTTTAAGGTAAGATTAACCAAGCAAAATAACAGCCCTTTTTTCAACCAAAACAAAATACAGATTTCTAACATCACCTCCAAAGGTAATACTCATAGAAAGACAGCTTGAATCACATATAAATTTATTGTAAAGACAAATCAAATCTGGTTAAGACAACATCTAACTAACATGAAATAAGAGGCCTATAGGCCTTAACAGTCACCTGACTATAAAGACCTACATATGATATAACTGCAGTAGTAGAAGTATTGGAACAGTTAATACATGATTAAAATTGTGCAAAATCTTTTAGCAGTAAAGACAAAAACATTTCAGTTTCTCCATATTCCAACAAAATTTTTAACTCAATTGCACAGCAGAACCTGAGAAGTTTTAAAATGAATTTTTAAGATGGTAGCCATATTGAATTTAGAACTGACCAGAAAAAAATAATAGCACTTGGTCAGGACCATCTCAAATGCATTTCAGGCAGGTAGCTAAATTCCACTGATGGAACTTGAGAAGACCTTAATATAAGAAGTTGTCTAGGAAAAAACATTAACAAGCTATTATGTTACAAAATGGCTGCCATATTGAACTTTTGACATGACCAAAAATATGACAACATTTGTCCACTTCCTTGAACATCCTCACCGATTTTAAGCTCAATGACACCAGCAGAGCTGCAGCAGAAATTTCAAGATTTTTAAGATGAGTGCCAGGGTGACAGTTCTGGATTTCAGACTGACCCGAAATATAACAAGATGTACACAATTTCTCTTACTCAGTGAGATTAGATCGACAATTGTACAATAATTTGTCATGCTTGAAATTTGCACAAAAGAAAACAACAACAGATCGATATGAACATTACTATTAATATAGCTTAACTTGTTTACAATTATATATTAAGTTTAACAAGAAAAAAAATGGTTATGAAGTTAAATGACATGAATGTTGTATAAATTATCCAAGGTTTGAAAAACCTCAAAAGAAATACAACCTTTTAAACAAAAATATGTAGACATTCTACAATGATACAAAATCAATAATTTCAGTTTTGACGGGACAAACTATCTTTCCCTCACCGTCTTTATTTGAGCATTGTGTTATATGTACCTGTAGATCTACATGATATCTTATACTATCACATAAATTTGTGGTTATAAAACACACCATATTTATACATGAAGAAATATTGTAGAAGTAGATATAAAAAATATGTATGATTAATATAGTCCTTGTGACATAATAAATGATTAACAAGAGTATCAGTGGAACTGATGAATGCTCCCCATAATGACGTTATTGGACAAAATCTTTAATTAAAGGGTTGCAGGACCTGAATTTGGTATATTGCACATTCTCTTAGTATGACCAATGTATGCACCAAGTTTCATGATCCTTGTTTTAATGTAAGCAAACCTACGGTCACCACAAACATTTTTTTAGCAAAGGGTAATAACTCTGTACTGAGGGGGGTCAAGACTTTGCTACAATGCATCTTGCTTTTGTATGACTGATGTATACGTCACGTTTCAATATCCTAGTTTAAATGCAGGCAAAGTAATGCTCTGTACACAAATCTTAACAAAGGGCAATAACTCTGTACTGAAGAAGGTCATGACTTTGTTACAATGCAGCTCGCTTTTGTATGACTGATGTATACGTCACATTTCAATATCCTAGTTTAAATGCAGGTAAAGTAATGCTCTGTACACAAATCTTAACAAAGGGCAATAACTCTGTAATTAAGGGGTTGTAGCACCTGAAGTTGGTACACTGCACATTATCTTAGCATTATCAATGTACACACCAATTTATATCATCTGAGTTTCAATACAAGCAAAGTTATGCTCTGGACATGAAAGGATGTAAGGACGGACTGATGGACAACGGGACGACTAAATGCTCCCCCTAAAATTATCAGAAAGCATAAAAAAAGACACAAGTAAAGAGAGAAGAATTTTCACCACTTCATATAATGTATGTTATTCACCCTTATGTTTTTCTGAAGGACCTTGCATAAGGAAAAAACAAACAAGGGTAATCTTCTCTATTTGTTTGTTTATTTTTATTACAAAATATATATTTGGAATGGAATGTTCTTTATTTTCATATCACATACAATGTAAGTAAAGCATGTACAAGTGTAAATATGACTGTAACTCACACACCCCACCCACCCACTGTTTATAACAACGACAAAAACATCCCTGAGCAACAGCTGGATAACAATTATAGTATAAGTTTATAAGATATAAAACTAACAGAATAGGATTTTCATCTCAGCTGTATGTCTACAATATTATGCTGCTTTGTATAAGTAGTAAATTACTGCATGTATGAAAACAGAAAAATCTATCTTTTTTGAAAATGTTATCTGCATAATAAAGAAGTGTTGGAATAGAAAAGAATGTATCTGTAAATTTTCCTGAATACAATTTCTAGACCACAGGGACCCGGCAGGTATTTCAGACCTTAGCTAGACCCTATTCTTAAGTGTATACAATGTACCTTTATTTTTTTTTCTAGGGAGCCAATGGAGGCAGGAGGCATCAGTATCTGATAAGAATAACACCCCTCTACATAAACGTACGTATACACAAGTACACATGATATCATCTGTATGTTATAAACACAGAATCAGAGTCAAAAGTGTGAAAGACCCAAATACACGAAAAAATAATATCCTGAGATTCTTTGTGGCCTCACAGGCAAATGGAGACAAAAATACCACTGTTACACATCATCCTGATATGTAAATTACTTTATATAAATGAGAAATATATCAAAACAATGACTGATTTAAAATTGAAATGATCGAATAAAAGCTACTGATCATCTCTTCTGTAACTTAATCAGTAGCTTACTGTAAAACCATTCATTCTGGTGGAAGACTTATTTTTCATTGATTTTGTGGGTATTCTAAATCTATAAATTTATGTCAAAGAACTTTTAAATCAGAAGACATGTAAGTAAATTCATCAAGCTCTATCAATTCACGAAAATTGAGTGTCCAGGAAAAAGTAATTTTTTGAAAACACATGATTGTACAGTAATCCAAGAGGAGATATGAAAGAGTTTGTTAGAAGCTTCTAATGCATTTGACTCCCATGACCTCAAAATGCTTCAAAATAATTTATTTGGATAAATATGGTTGTTCATAATCCCAGCCTGCATGATTATATCAGAGCCTGCAGCTCCTTGATTAAGACAGAGAACATAGAAGTCATTTAAAAGGAAGCTTGGGACAGAAGGACAACAGATAGAAACTGCACTGTGGCAGAAACTGACTTGTTTTGTTTCCTGACCAAATAACTTCTAGGAACAACAGTATGTATTTATATTTTGGTTTGAAGTGTATCGAAATTAAAGGATCATCGAATACATCCTTTAAGTTACCCTCCGAACAAAAATATATATGCAGTATACTCTTATTTTTCCCAGGGTCCCCACCAGCCCCCATGCAGTTCTGGGTTAGAGTTATTATCATATGGAGGATAAACACAAGGTACAGATGTCACATTCAGCTGCTGCAGCTTTGTCAGCATCTTCATCACTAGGTCTGGATAGTATGGTGACAGGTCATTTCTTTCCACAGGGTCCTTAGCAATATTGAACAGCCAAAGGTTCTTCGTTGGATCATCAGTGTCAACGTCAATGTTGAAGTTATTGCTTGCAGTAGGTACAGGGACCCAGCTCCCATTGCCTAGAGTGTATAACAGTTTATTCACCTCTAATGACATCTTTTTATATTCTTTTTGTTTCAGTTATCAACTCAAATTGTAAACAGTATATGGGTGGTCGGGTGGCACAGTGGTAACACACTCGCCTTTCACCTACTCGTTGTGAAATAAATGAAGTTTATAGTTTATAATTACATATTTACAGACCTCTACAAAATATATATAATGTACATATATATACTGACCTCTACAAAATATAGTATACAATGTACATATACTCTGACCTCTACAAAATATACAGTATACAATGTACATATACTGTAGTCTGAACTCTGAACTCTACAAAATATACAGTATACAATGTACATATACTGTAGTCTGAACTCTGACCTCTACAAAATATACAGTATACAATGTACATATACTGTAGTCTAAACTCTGAACTCTACAAAATATACAGTATACAACATACATATTACTAAATTTGAGAAAATGAAAGTGTGTTGTGAGAGAAACTCAACATTCAGGAAAAAATATTGATGCTGCTGTTTATACTTTGAAAAATCCCATCAAATTGAGTAACAACTTAATGAATATATACCTACCATATGAAAAAAATGATTAAATATGTGTTTCACAAGAAAATGCAGCATACAGGAGTACCCTGGACATGTAGCTTTCATGAGATTTGAGAAAAACCCTGAGAGAAACTTATCTATAAATGACATACCTGGACTACCTGTAACCACCTTCCAGTCTCTCCATCTGAGAGCAGCCCTGTAACGATTGTCAAAGGGGCTATTCTCCAATCTGTTCCCCACAGGCTTTGTTAAGGGATCAATATTGTGCAGCAGTGTTTCTCTGGGGCTCTTAGCTCCTTCACTGTCAAGAGAAATAAAGGTTTAAATAAGGTTCACTCAAAAAGGACCCTTTGAGGTATGCAAGTGCAAGATTTTCATATATGCTGCCCTTTGCAACTAATATAGATGTCTTTTCTTAAACTCAACGCTGCACACTCAGTATCATGTATCAATCATGGTCTCTCTGTATACTCATTCAATGGAAAATTTGCTTTTTTCATCTTCAAAGAAAACTGCTATTTATGCCTTAGCTCTGTTCACTATTTAGGTATATACATAAAGTACGTTGTACATAAAAGCATATATCATTCATCTCCGGGCCACCTTTCACATTAATCGTATTGGCAAAAGGGTCAAAGTCACAGTAGTTACAGAAAAAGGAAAACATTTCAATTATCTAACAATAGGATAACTCGAAACTCAATCACTATTCATTCTACAATAAGCTCAAGGAGCCAAAATAGTACATTTCTGGGTGGGCTTATTGCAGGACAATAATTTTATTCAACATACAGCAATATAAATATATGGATTAACTAAAAGTTGTAACAATCAAACATAAAAGATAAATACAGAACTTACACAAATGTAGCTATTTGACTTGAAAATACTTTTGATTAAGATTTGTTTTAAAAGAAGCTTCTTACAAGTGAAATTCCTTGTGAGGATCTACTGATGTGGTAGACATATGTTCGCATGTGTCGTGTAGATTTCTATTAGCAGTAGATTTGATTCTGTCCCTGTTAATTTGTACCACCTGTGTTATTCAATTATACTTTTTCTGCACACCTGATTGTTTTCCATTGATCAAACCCATCGAGAGGTTTGGTACCGTTTAGGGAGCCCCCTGCCAGTCCTACCAATGTTGGGTACCAGTCTGTCACATGTATGAGTTCAGAGGAAACTTTTCCTTTTTTCTGTAGAGCTTTCCCGTGTACAAATCCTACACCATGCATTCCTCCCTCCCAAAGGGATCTCTTCCAGCCTCTAAGGGGCCAGTTGTTGCCCCCATCTAATATCTCTCCACCATTGTCTAAAATTACAGTTTGATTTTCATAATAACTGTGGTAAAATACAGAGTAATATGAACGTGGCATATGACAACTGAATTTTTTGACAAAACTATCTTCTGCAATGTTTGCAACTGAAGGTGAAATGAGTTTAGTTTAGCTATGATATGCAAACATTACATTACCCATTACACAAAATCAATATTTTTCTAATGGATATGTGTTTCAAACTAGAAGATTGTCATTCATGATTGCAAAGCTTCTGAATCAGTGTGATCTGTACCTGTGGAGAAGACCATAATGGTATCATCCCACATCCCTTTGGCCTGAAAAGCTGCTGTGATGTTTCCAATGGCTTCATCCATGGCTGACACCATTCCTGTAAAATGTATTGAAAGCTATTACAGTGAACAACATGTTACAGTGAACAAAGTATTACAGTGAACAAAATGTTACAGTGAATAAAGTATTACAGTGAACAACATGTTACAGTGAACAAAGTATTACAGTGAACAACATATTACAGTGAACAAAGTATTACAGTGAACAAAATGTTACAGTGAACAAAGTATTACAGTGAAAAAAGTACTATAGTAAAAAATGTGTTACAGTAAACAGAGTCCTACAGTAAACACTGTGTTACAGAGAACAAAGAATTATTGGAAACAAAGTTTTTAGTAAAAATATCTTCAACAAAAATTTTAATCAATATCACATCTTACAAAATGTACTTTAATAAAGTTCATACAGCTGTAGATTAATACATCAAAAATGTATATTGTTATCACCTGTTCTGTCAACAGCAATGTCAAATCTATAAATCTTGCTTTCATAACAGTATTTGTAATAGGCCAAGGTAAATCACCCCTGAGTCAATGTACTGGGGTGGGCTTATTACAGGACAATGATGTACTACACATGTTTGCCTTTCTACTGACATTACTTCCAACTTAAATTTGAACTTATCACCAAACTTACAAATGAGCTTATTGATGAATGTATATCACTGTCATCATTAATCATAAGATTTACTACCTGAAGAGAATCAGTGTTTGAATAAGCAGAGAAATGCATCTACAGATTTATGGGCACCAAAATATTCATACCTAGAAAGTAAAGACGTTTGTGCGGGAAATACAGAACACTTTGGGTTTAGTGTTAAAATGCTTCCAGCAGTCATAGTAGAGACAAAGATGAAAGGTACACTATTGGACTGACAGAGAAAAAAGGTACACTATTGGAGAAATAGAGAAGAAAGGTAAAGTATTGGAGAAATAGAGAAGAAAGGAACACTATTGGAGAAATAGAGAAGAAAGGAACACTATTGGAGAAATAGAGAAGAAAGGTACACTATTGGAGAAATAGAGAAGAAAGGTACACTATTGGATCGACAGAGAAGAAAGGTACACTGTTGGAGAAATAAAGAAGAAAGGTACACTATTGGATCGGCAGAGAAGAAAGGTACACTATTGGATCGACAGAGAAGAAAGGTACACTATTGGAGAGACAAAGAAGAAAGGTACACAATTGGAGAAATAGAGAAGAAAGGAACACTATTGGGGAGACAAAGAAGAAAAGTACACAAGAGATCTTATTTGCTATAGGTTAGGAGGCATATATCAACCAAATATATAATCATTTGTCTGAAAGATTATGGGAGCCAGCTGAATATCTTAGAAAGAGTTTCAAGTAAACTCATGATTACAGTAAGGCAAAATAGAGACGTTATGACCTCAGTGAGAAAAAAAGGTGCAATTAAACATATTTATATAAGGTTTATGCTTGGCACTGTAATGATAAAACTGATATACTTGTTTTGTAATAAACCCAGCTACCTGGGTATATTAACGTTCAGTTCATTGTGACAATATGTACATAACATGAATTCAATTATACTCAAAGACTGCACAATCATGTCTATTTGATATGTATAATAAGATATATGTCTGAATGTTCCAAGTTGAAGCGAACTCAAGTAACCAGTCGAAACCCGAAGATAATGACCAAATTCTTTAAATGGACAAAATCACTTTTAAGATATAAAGATTGCTTTTAGTATTATGATAACTTCAGATGATCTCACCTGCATATATCCGCCTGTTGTGGTTTTTGATATGAGCATATTGTTCTGTATACCTGGATGGTACTTGTAATGGGGAGTGGACAGCTTGAAGTGCCAGGTAAAGAAACATGGGCTAAAAATAAAAAGTTGAGAATTCTCAAAAAGGGCTACATAGTATAGTCACATTTAGAACAGTGTAATACTTTTATGGAGCAATGAATATTGAGAAAAAAAAAACTCATCTTGTAGGAATAAAATAGCATGAAAAGGAAAGTTGTATGTAATTTATACTTGATCAATTTGGCTGCATCACCTATAATGACAAAATCCTACATTAAAATATAAAAAAATACATATATATATATATATACTTAACACTGTTGATCTACAGAAACTAAAGGTAACATTCCTGTATATACATCCTGATAATTTGATGTAATTGGTCTTATCTATATTGGTGACATCAAATGTATTGCTGACAATGTATTTATTCTTCGTATGAAAGCATATAAGGTAATCCAGTGGCAGATAAGCAAAAACTAAATTATGTTTTACTGTACAAGTAGTAACCTTGTCCTTCAATATGTGATGACAAATACTAGTAACCTTGACCTTCAATATGTTGTGACAAAGATTTTCCTTTCAGAGTGTTTATGAAGTGATTGTTAGTAGTTAGTAATTGAATGTCAGAAAACATTAAAAATGTACACCACTAAGTGTCCAAGACATAAACATCTAAACAGAAGGTAGAACTACATGTACAGATCGAATTAGAGCCAGGCCCAAGTTTTCTAAATCTTCTTCAACTTTATATTAAGCATTACATAAGTTAAGGAAATGTCCTTTAATTCAAGTTTTTCCTTAACTGAAGTAATGCTTTTCTTCCATTGTTAAGATTTCCTTCAGTTAAGGAACATACATGAAAGTGGGGCCTTTTGTTTAGCAGTATAAACGTTGAACTTACCTTGGAGGAGTTATACTGATTGATCATGTCTATCACATGATTATTATACATCTCAGTTGAATATTCATCTGGAGTTGGTTCAACAATTTTGAAGTTGTCTCGTAAGTCTTTTCCACAAAAATTTTTTCCATAACATAATGTTTTAGTGTAATAGTCTTCACTACCTGCCAGATAACCTGTTTAAGAAATCACACACTATATATAAATTGAATGAAGGCTAAATAATCACATCAGATTATTGTGTCTGGTGATAAAGATTTTTGGTTTAATGAGGTAACAAAAACTGCATGAATTAAAGCAACTCTGAGCCAATCTCTTTTGGTAAAATTTTGGTATAAATTTAAAGGATTGAAAAAAGTTGGTCTATCTTTATACAAAAAACCTCATTCATTATAAATCAAGATCATCAATGACCTCATTTCGTTAAAGGTGAGACAATCAAGATCATCGATGACTTCCTTTCATCATTACAGGTACATGTAAAAGTTGTCAGTACACTGTCTGTTGATAGTGACCTAATTACACTGTAGTTGTCTACACACTGTCTGTTGGTGGTGACCTAATTATACTGTAGCTGTCTACACACTGTCTGTTGGTGGTGACCTCATTACATTATACTTGTCAGTACACTGTGTGTTGGTGGTGACCTAATTACACTGTAGTTGTCTACACACTGTCTGTTGGTGGTGACCTAATTACATTGTAGTTGTCTACATACTGTCTGTTGGTGGTGACCTAATTACACTGTAGTTGTCTACATACTGTCTGTTGATGGTGACCTTATTACATTATAGTTGTCTACACATTGTCTGTTGGTGGTGACCTAATTACATTGTAGATGAGACAATCAAGACCATTGATGACCTCATTATATCATATATGAAGATATCTACCCTGACATATCCATTGATGCCTCTTTAAAATTCAAAACTTTTGGATTAAAGGAAAATTTCAATCTCATCAATCTTCGAAATTGTAAAGAAGCATTTGGGACTTTTTCATTATTATATTGCAAAAGTATCTTATAACAAAAAAATAGAAATAGTTGAATTAATTTTTTAGAAGACATGTATTTTTTCCATTTGCTTATGGTTAAAAAAATCAAATATATAAAATCTAAGTATACCATAGAATGTGTCAAAGCCTCTGTTATTTGGGAGGTACTCCTCCTTGTAGAAGCCAAGGTGCCATTTTCCTACAGCATGTGTAGAGTATCCAGCCTCTTTCAATTTGTCTGAGAGGATGGGACTGTCCCTCGGCAATGCATTGGGCTGGGGAGCCCAGATTAAGCTATGTTGCAGTCCAGTGTGGATCTGTGAAGCAAATTCAACAAATCTGATTTATTGATAGGTTTCTGACAAATTATGCTGAAATTTTCATGCATTTGTTTTGTTAAACTATGTGAAATATCTGAAGACTGATATTGTACTTATAAAACTCTGTTCCGTGAATTATGATAAAGCATTTACAAGAGATAAATGAAATAAAAAGTTTGTTCCCTTGGAAATGCTTTGTGCAATATCAGAGACGTATATAACACAGAGATTCGCAGTGTTATATACGTCTCTGCCAAAATGCAGTATATTCTACGATTTGTTACATACATCTATGATGCATGTAAAAATAGCTGAATTTCAAAAATTTTAAAAGCAGGAGACATATCTATAGATAATCTGGCATACAAATGAACATATAAGATTGAGATTAAAGCTAAATGGACATGTAAGTTCGGTACCTGTAAAATGTACATTATCAGTGTACATTTACATGCCCATTAATATTGTTTTTTACCTGGTACCTCCCAGACATAAGTTGACTCCTTGTAGGTGTACAGATCGGCTGTACATAGTAATTCTCCAGTCTGACACCTTCTGCTGACAACTTGTCCAGGTTTGGTGTTTTGATTTCCGATCCATGATACCCGATGTCATTGTATCCGTAATCGTCGGCAAGTACAAATAAAATGTGTGGCTGTTTTGCATTAACAATTTTTACTGAACATAACAGAAGAAACGCTGTTAACGACAAGAAAGACGGTTTCGTCATCGTTAATGGTATTACACCGTGATACCTTATTCATAAGATTCACCACAGTCAGATTTAGCGCTAGCAATATTAATGTAAACAAACCAAATCGAAACCTCGTGATCAAGCCGGAAGTTCTGGTGGTAATTGAAAAGTTACTTTTATGACATCGACTAGAAAACAACACATTGTTCTGAAAATAAATATTTATTTATTCTGACACTAAAATTTGAGTATGTTGAGTTAAGATAATGAATGAGCATATGTAATTTATTTTTCTGGGTTTTAAAACTGTGCTTGAAATGAGAAAATATACCATATTCCGGATAAGAATTTGGGTGATACTAATTACAGCCCAGTGCCTCACGGTACCCAGTGTCGCACGGTACTGCAGCACCGCCCGGGAATTATATTAATCGCGTGGGCTTTTGATTTCAGATTCGAAACGTTCAAACTGTCTCATATGTAAATATATTGCCTATACGGTATTTCATTCAAAAAAGGTGAAAACCTATTTTCCCGATTTACAGCTATTTGAAACAAGGTGATATCCCAACAACGAGCTATGATTGTGTTATTTGCGATATCAGCTGCGCTCGCGATTTATTTTTAATTTTGTATCGTTAAATCTGTATTATATGCAATGAAATGAATGTCGTTATTAAGAAATAATGCAAAACATATTAAAAGATGATTAAAAAATGATTACCGTTGCAACACTGCGCTCGCATCCTGTTAGTTTGTAAAACCGGGACTTCCCGGGATTTTATTTATATCCACATATAGTTAGTTCTGTATCATTTTTTATTTATGTGAATAAAATGAATATCATAAACCAAAAATAATTAACATAATTATAAAAATAAAACGAATTATTACCATTTGAAATAATCGATATCGCGACAAAGCGCTTGCGTCTTGTTATTCGCAATATCGGGACCGCCAGGGCTTTTATTTTTATTCACGTACATTCGCAGGAGGGTAAATAAAGACAATACAGATTTAGTAATAGATGAATAAAGATAAAAGCCCGATGGTCCTAGTATTGCAAAATAACAAGATGCGAGCGAATTGTTGCGATATCGATGATTTACAATCATTGTTGGGTATTTTCTCATCATTTCTGGATAAAGATATCAATTTTATTCATATATGCGTATTCAAGGTGGATTTATTTATATATGAGAATAGAAATAAAAGCCGTGGTGGTCTCGGTATTGCAAATAACAAGATTTATAGCAAATTGTTTCGACTGCCTATTCTTGTACCCATATCTCGGACAATTTCCCATAGTTTTGCACTATACGTTGACTATTGTGTTGACGTCGTTAATATTTTGCGTATAAGACAATCTCGACTTTACAGAGGTGCAAATAACAGCCTAGCAGTCAATATATGGTTCACGAACGGGTTCGGACAGCCAGAGAATTCCAGGCAGTGCTGGACTGTAATTAGTACAACAAAATTTTTCCGCTTTAAATATTAGACAACGACTTTGGACTTCCGGCTAGATAATCTGCACCGAAAACCAGAAAATGAAGGGTAATTTTTTTTAAAATCAGGTGTTTACACAGAGTAGACCACCCGATATTAACGTGTAATGTTTTCGTTATATATTCAATATATTGTTATTCTTTTAAAAGTCCCATGCAAATGTCGTTACTAACAGAATGGGATTTGCTGTTGTTTGGTGATAATCCTTTTTGGGACTCCCCTTTTGGGATCCCTCCTTGCAATTGGGACTCATTTATATCAGATGTTTGACAGTGTCTGTTGGAGGGGCATTTTGACAGTTCTCCAGGATTATACGAAAAACGTGAATAATCCTTTAATACAAATTTAGAGTTAGATACAGTAGAGTCAAACAATGAATTAAACTAATATATAAAACAAATTTAGAACAACGTATTGTACATGATTATAATATCAACTGTGCTACAGATCGAATAAATTGATATGTAGCATGCAGATCACGGCAAATCTCGAGCTCGGAGGACTAAATGTCCACCAGCAGTGTCGTTAACCATCTACTGTACATGTACATGTTCTCCAGCACAGTTCTAACACACTGAGTATCATGACAATATAGTACATATAAAAGACCAGTGTTTGCATGTAAAGAAGGAGATATAATTGTGAATTATTTGGAAAGAGTTGTGCTTGTTCAACATTTTACTTCATCAGTGCATTTTAGCCCGTCAGTCAGAACAATTTTGTGCAAGTTGTCGGACATTGTTGTAAAGTGTGTAATGCAAAAAGATTTGTTAATAACACTGCTGGTGCTGAAAGAGTCCCATTACACTCCTTCCTCCCTGGACACTCATTAGGTACTCCTGTCTGCTTTAGTTCTATGGACGAAGGGTCTTAAGTCAGTTTCACAGAGCAGTACTTTAAAAGAGGTGATGTGTATGTCTGGTCTATATTGTCAGATAAAGATTTTTATTGATTTGTGTTTTGTTGTGAATTATTTTGAACATCATGACCAGAAAGACATCCTTTAATCTGTCAAGAGACGGGCAGCCAGTGGAGATCAAGCATCAAATTATTTATATATTAGTCGAAATTATTCTTATGTTACATCAACTTATATGTATCGGCTTGGAGTTGATGGACTCCAAGCCCATGTAGAAAAGTCAAAGGAATGTAAGAATGATTCAGATTATATATGACTAACACTGGAGGTATGATGTTTCCTGTTGGATACAAACCAGACTGTCGTACATTTAACCATGTTGAACTTATATATGTTTTCACGTAGGTTTTGTCTTATGCCCAAAGTCATTTATTTTCCACCTGTTCCTGTAATGTATTCTTAGTCAGCCTCTTAAGATCATGTAAAGTGAGAATGTGATTCCAAGGCAAACTCAGGCTAGGGATGCCAATTCAAAGTACCTGGTATCTTGTAACATACATAATTGTAACACATGAGACACAGACATAAAGATATAAATGGATTATATGTATGTGAGAGGATGAATGTGCACATTAAATTTACCATACTATTTATATTGTTCTGTCTTGTTTGAAATTGCCGACTTATATGCTTACAATCTATTTTCAAATAAATATTTTACTATGATTTCAGATCAAACGAGACGAGGTGATTGAAGATTGCTTCTGTACATATTTGTATGTTCTGAAAACTTAGTGTGGAAGATTGATTTAACACTTAAAACCAATCAGAATGGCAATGATGGACGATGCTGGCTTCCTTATTACTCACATTAGGAATTGCTTCATCACCAGTGATGACACAGGGATGTGTGAAATTGTCTTAGAGACAGATGAAAATGACAACAACGAAAGAAAACAGACCAGCAAGTAGGTTGCATTGCCATGGTTTCAAGATATAAAAATCAACATTTTACTGTAGATATGTCTGCATAGCATCAGCTGGCATTTACTATCTTGATAAAGATCTAGATACGCCTTGGAACTAGGATGATTCATGATATTGATGTACTTGAAAATAAAGGTCAAGTTTGGAACACAATTTATAAGACAAAAGAACATTTTATCCAGCTTGTTTCATGATGTTGATATATGTTACTAGATCTGACCCATCAAGTGCTGACGATAGTGGGATGGAATCCTCAGATATGGAACTGTCTTCTGGGTCGTATGACATCATGCCTGACATGGGTTATCCTGGTATGTACTGGTAATTTGACCTCTCCTCTACTACTTTGACTGATCATATATATGTAGTGTCTCGCGGTATATATGTATTTACTCATTGACAATTAGTCTGGTTGTAGATGTATGCATTCCTGTCAGACTGCATTAACAGCAGTAACTAATAGATGGTATGAAGAGATGGATAAATGCCATCTAGTTGGTGTAATGTACACTGATTTTAGAAAGGCTTTTGACCTTGTTGACCACAATATTCTACTACATTGTTCAATGAGATTTTTCACGTCCTATCTAACACTTTGATTATTATTATGTTCACTTGTTTTACAACATCTACCCTACTTAGATAAGTTCTGTAATATGACTGATGACATACCAATGTTTAGCGTTCCATGGTATGTTACAACCTTCTATGATTTGGCTGACTTTAATGTTTTTTTTTGTATGATTTTTTTTTCTCATAAGCATCATTTCCAAAATTTTGATAGGTCCTGTTACAAAGAGATAAGGTGGGTTCTCAAAGGAAAAGCATGAGTCCAGAACTCAAATGTTTAAGTTACTAAAATCACTGATAATTTATACAGTATCACCTACAAATGTATATCCAGGCATGCTTATGTCATCAATGCCTTACTTCTATGGTGCACCCATAATAACATACACTACTATGTGATGGAGACATATGACTACAGCAGTTCTGTCAACCTCCACATTTGAGGAGAATCACTTGGTATTGATGTCATCAAAAGAAATGGATTGTCTTTAGAATGATGATTTTGTTTTCTTTTTTCAATTAAATTAGAGGATTTTATTTGAATTTAGGTCACAGATTAAGATCCAACACAGCTCAGAGACTGGAACGCATGAAGAAAGAAAAACGGAGCCAACGTAAAGTAAAGAACATTCCCTGGAGAGATGCAGCTCTCAACTATAATGGTATGTAATTGATGTATTTTTTCCTAATTGTCTGGTCAGAAAATCATATTCCACCTGAACCTAAATGTCCTTTTAACTCATTCTAATTAATGTGGTTTATCCTCAGTGGAAGATCGTGGTCATCTGTTTGAGAAGAAGTCCTTGTCTGAGAATGCTGAGTCTCCAATGTCTGTACCAAAACAATCCAAACTCACAGAGCAGTTAGGAATGTCGTCCAGTGACTTGGACAACCCCTTTCTAGATTACCTCAAGTTTGATGGACGAGTAAGCCTTATTCAGCATTGCTGAGTTTTATTTCATATTCCATTATCAAAATATCAGATATAAAGTTGTTTTTTTGTAAAGTTCAGTGATGACATTAACTTTTATCATGGAATAAGACTGAGTTCTGATGTCATATTTCTTAATTCTACTTAATCTAACTATATTTGAAAAGGCTAGTGCAGGTGTCCACTCCAGAAAGATAGATATTTTTTTGACGATGGCCGGCCCTGCTGACCGTCCCTACCCAATGCCTGTAGTGTGTGTGGTCATGACCAAGATACAGGAGCTAATAGGTCTCATATGCTGGCAGTATACAAATGAAGGCAAAGAACCAAAGCTCAAGTAAGTCTCTCACACCATACAAATTAATCATTTATCATTTTCTAGTTTTGTTAGTTCCCTTCCCCTCTTCTTACAGGTATGTATACTTCAATTCTTTATTTTCCATGGCCAAAAAAAATTAAGCTGTTTTTAGTTTGTACCAAGAGTTGGATGTCACCAGTATGTTAGCTGGGAGATAGCTTCTTGTAATTTATGAACTAAATTGATAAACGTCATCAAAATTTGGAGCTGGAGAGGGATTGAAATAAGTTTTTATTTTCTAATTTATTAGTAGTTTTTCGTTAAGTAAGGAGATTGATTATAATTTTCTTTGTCATTGGAATATAAAATGAAGAATGATAGTGAATACAAACTTTCTACCACCAAAAGGTAATCCCTTGACATTTTCAATTACATTTAGAATTTTTTCAATCACTTCATTTATACTGGGTAAGTATTCCATGACGTGCACTTAAATACTTTAAATACTGTTGACATAACACTTTACTGTTGTTGTTCTTAGCTTTTCAACAACTGATTTAATTCAATTTCCATTGTAACTGCATGAAACTGTTAGGTTATTCTCTATAGATTTCCGGCCTCTGCTATAACATGTGAATTGATTGACTTTTGTACAGTGAGAACATTGAGATGTATTCCCTCCATATAGCTGAGGATGATGGGGAGGTCGACATGGACTTTCCTAGTCTTGATCCAAGAGAGCCTGTATCAAAATTTGGTTTTGCAAAGCTGGCATTAGTGGAAAAAAACATACCTACTCAGACTTTGTCCAAGGCTTCTCTAGTAGTCACAGTGTAAGTTAAACATCGATATTAGGTTAACCATTTAAAATCAGTTGTAACAAAATATATCTCATATTAACAAAATTTTAACTCCCGTCACAATCATATAATTATGTATACATTTCAAACTTGGAAGAAAAAGTTTGGTTTTATTTCTAGAGGAACCTTAAACTGATACATGTATATGCTTCAGAAACGATCTTTTAAGGATATTCAAATCTTACAGTGTACATGTATTTTAACAATTCTAACTCCATGTCATAATTTTTGTTATACGTGTGTTGATATCATCAGTTTCAGTCTTATAAAATGTTTTCTGTTAAACTTGGTTTATACTGAAATAACTTGTTTGATCTTCAGAACAATTTTATCAGAGTTCCTACTTCTACGATTCTTTACTGATTGTAAACTCAATGGTACATATTATCGTTTTGTTAAATAGTGTTATAATTTGTCACCTTGCTTTTTCTATCGTCAAAAATAGTTATAAGAATAGAGAAGTTGCATTTGTAATGTTTTTTTGTCACTCTGATGCCATAAACTACCTTACTATTTGAGAATTTTGATTGGTTTTATTGCATGAATTAAATGTATATCTTACTTTGTATAGTAAGTCATTTTTTTGAAAATGTGTAGCTATGTGCCACATCGAGGATTCAACAAGTTCCAGATGGAAGGCATGGATATTCCAATGAAAGATATCCTTCAGAGAGTCCTGAAGAGGAGGAAGGTGAAAATCAGGCCAGGTACTGTGTCAACTTGCACTGTAATGTACTGTAATATAATTGTCTATGTAACTCCTAAATAGTCTGCAAAACAATAATGGCTGATGTGATCAGCATGATTTGCTTAACTTAACAAGTAATTAACAGGTTAAACAGATTTTCCTTGATCATTTTAAAAGACTGTAAATCTGTGCAAACATTTCTGGCTGAAATTGCTTGTGCCGGGATGTACATGCTTTAATTTGTAACGTGACTATTCCTAGAGATTGTTTCATTGTCAGTAATGTTTTACTTTACAATATAGGCCAGAGTTACAACCTAGAGAAACAGACAGAGCCAGGAGTAGCTGTGGATTTAGACGCGACATTGGCAAATATGGACACCATGGAATTTTGTCTAGTTAGAAAACACAGTAGGTTGATGTTTTGTAAAAAAAATCTTGAACAATCCATTCCTTTCAGAAATTTCAAGAATCTGTCATTATATATCAATAGCTGCTTAGAATAAAATCTTTCTGAGCATATCTATCTCTCCTTACACAGTACTATTTGGTATATTTATTTCCCTGATTCAGTATTTATGTTGATTGATCTCCCCTGACACAGTATCTATGTGTATATTGATCTCCCCTGACACAGTATCTATGTGTATATTGATCTCCCCTGACACAGTATCTATGTGTATATTGATCTCCCCTAACACAGTATCTATGTGTATATTGATCTCCCCTAACACAGTATCTATGTGTATATTGATCTCCCCTAACACAGTATTTATGTGTATATTGATCTCCCCTAACAGTATTTATGTGTATATTGATTTCCCCTAACACAGCATTTCTTTGTATAATTATCTCCCCTTATACAATATATTTGGATATATCTATCCTCCCTAACACATTATTTCTGGATAGAGTTATTTCCTCTTGCACAATATTTGTATGTATATTGATATCCCTATAACACAGTATTTCAGATGGAATAAAACTTCAAACAAACAATACTTTTAAAATAAAAAAATAGTAATAGTCCATTTTATGATTTCCACCATTGATAAATCCATTATGTATCAAGCATTTGGTAAAAACTTAGCCATTAGAAAAAAGCCTTTTCAGTATGTACAGTTATGTTGTTAAAATTGTTAGTTACAATCTTAGAATTATCTACATAGGTACTCGGGGTGAGGAGGTACACGAGGAGGAAGGAGACATGTCTGCTATGGCTGAATCACTCACTAGTCATCAGTACAAAAGTTACATTGTTAATCTGGTACATAAACTCAGAGCCAACACAGAGGTACAGCTGGGTAAGTATTCACTGTCTCCTAGATCACAAACTCATTACAAGCACACAGGTTCAGCTCAGTAAGAGTTCACATTATTTTGGTTGATAATTACTCGGAGTCATTGCACAAGTATAACTCTGTAAATAATCACTGTTTCCTTTTTCATTACTTCCGAGTCAAACAAGAGGTTTAGCTTGATAATAAGTATTCACTGTTGATGAACTCTGTGTCAACACTGAGGTTTAGCTTTGTATGTATTCACGCTCTCTTGGTTCATAAACTATGGGCCAAAGTAGAGGCCAGTACTCACTCTGGCTTGGTTAAATAACTTTAAACCAACACAGAGGTTTAGCTTGGTGAATATTAACTCATTTCTGGTTCATAAACTCCAAGCCAGCCCATAAGTTCAGTTTGGTTAATAACCACTGTCTGGTTCAAAAACTCTGGACCAAGAGATGTTTAGTTTGTTTAGAAGTCATTGTCTTCAGCGGGGTCGTAAAATCAGAAAATAGAAAATAAGTAATAATATTCCTCTTGCCTTTATATCTTTCGATTCTTAAATTTCATGAAAAAAAGGGGGAGGGAAACACTTTATGTAAAGTCAAATGAAGTATTGAATGAGCTGTAATGATCTTGATAAGTCATATATTGCAGTCTAAATGTTGTAATTTTCTTCATCTATGTGTCCATTAACGCCAATGTAATGGTGGTATTTGACATTGTAGGAGTAAGCGGGGAAAAGGTGGAGATTGATCCTGTTGCCAGTAAAGGTACAGGGCGCATATTCCGACAGAAGGCTGTCACTTACGATGCTGATAGCATTGCCTCCTGTGATATAATAGAAGAAAAAATTACAGGTAAAGTTTTAGTAGCATTTTAAGTGCTTAAATAAAATCCGTTTTTTTGTGAGGATAGTATTTACAACAGATACTACCGACAGTATTGAAACATTTGCTGCAGATTTTTAATTCCTGCATGAAGATTTTGGATTGGTTATACGAATGAAGCTCTTTGAAGCATGGTTTCTTATGTATACAAAATGAATACATGATTTGATAACTAATGATCAGAAAACTAGTAACAATTTTTTTCACATATTTCTGTTATTCAGGAAAGTGTATATTCCGATTGACACATTTGAGTAACCATGACTACAAGCACCATGATTTTGAGGCTGATGCAGAGGTTGCCATGGAAATAGTGTCAAAACTTAAGAACATTTTAGAGCTGCGAATAAGCCCTGCCAGAAAGGAATATGTAGCGGCACAGACACGCAAACTCCTCAAGAAAAGGGATTCTCTCAAATTCACATCATTATCTTAGCAGGGAAACACTAACAGGAAGTGTGAAATCTTCCTGTACAAAGGTTGATAAGGGCAAGTGCAAGTGGTGAACACTTTTTCCTGAATTTTGTCAGTGAAATTTTGTGTTCAAGTGTGCCATACATTATATCTAAAGGATAAAAATGTATTTTGGAATAATTCAATATCTCTGTTACTAGGTATTTCTATGTATTATGAGTGAGGTGATTTCCTGAGAAATGTCCTTAAATGTATTCTCTAAGCGAGATTTTCCATTGCTTTTCAACACCTGATGCAAATACTATTTGACATTTTCACTCAACCAATCAATGATGGTCCTTGGAGTTATCTACAAACTGATCACTAGGTGGCGCTTTGAGTTGACTCTCAGCTGATCACTAGATGCTCCTTGGGTTGTTGCAATTGGATTTCTTTGGAGATGTATTGTAACAGATCACTTCAGAAGTAGCTCAACCTTCTCAGTAAATGAGATATTTGGTCTGTCAATATAAGATGCCTCATTTTAAAGTGATCTCTTAATGAGTGGTGTCTAAACATGTGCAATAATAAACAATACAAAAATGATGTAGTATGTTTCACATTCCAGGGGTCTGTCTGCTAAAAAATATAGTGAATTCCACTTTCAAGTTGACTCTCAAAATGAACTTTGTCTATAAGTTTATCAAGCTATCCAAAGATCTGCTCATATTAGTGCAAGTGGTAGTGGTCTGCCATTTGGTGTTACTACAGTATACAAGGTCTGTCATTTGGTGTTACTACAGTATACAAGGTCTGTCATCAGGTGTTACTATAGTACACAAGGTCTGTCATTAGGTGTTACTATAGTATACAAGGTCTGTCATTAGGTGTTACTATAGTATACAAAGTCTGTCATTAGGTGTTACTTTATTATACAAGGTCTGTCATTAGGTGTTACTACAGTATACAATGTCTGTCATTAGGTGTTACTATAGTATACAAAGTCTGTCATTAGGTGTTACTATAGTATACAAGGACTGTCATTAGGTGTTACTATAGTATACAATGTCTGTCATTAGGTGTTACTATAGTATACAAGGTCTGTCATAAGGTGTTACTATAGTATACAAAGTCTGTCATTAGGTGTTACTATAGTATACAAGGTCTGTCATTAGGTTTTACTATAGTATACAAAGTCTGTCATTAGGTGTTACTATAGTATACAAGGTCTGTCATTGAGTGTTACTATAGTATACAAAGTCTGTCATTGAGTGTTACTATAGTATACAAAGTCTGCCATTAGGTGTTACTACAGTATACAAAGTCTGTCATTAGGTGTTACTACAGTATACAAAGTCTGTCATTAGGTGTTACTATAGTATGCAAGGTCTGTCATTAGGTGTTACTATAATTTACAAAGTCTGCCATTAGGTGTTACTATAGTATACAAGGTCTGTCATTAGGTGTTACTATAGTATACAAAGTCTGTCATTAGGTGTTACTATAGTATACAAGGTCTGTCATTGAGTGTTACTATAGTATACAAAGTCTGTCATTGAGTGTTACTATAGTATACAAAGTCTGCCATTAGGTGTTACTACAGTATACAAGGTCTGTCATTAGGTGTTACTACAGCATACAAAGTCTGTCATTAGGTGTTACTATAGTATGCAAGGTCTGTTATTAGGTGTTACTATAATTTACAAAGTCTGCCATTAGGTGTTACTATAGTATACAAGGTCTGTCATTAGGTGTTACTATAGTATACAAAGTCTGTCATTAGGTGTTACTATAGTATACAAGGTCTGTCATTAAGTGTTACTATAGTATACAAAGTCTGTCATTAGGTGTTACTATAGTATACAAGGTCTGTCATTAGGTGTTACTATAGTATACAAGGTCTGTCATTAAGTGTTACTATAGTATACAAGGTCTGTCATTAAGTGTTACTATAGTATACAAGGTCTGTCATTAGGTGTTACTATAATATACAAAGTCTGTCATTAGGTGTTACTATAGTATACAAGGTCTGTCATTAGGTGTTACTATAGTATACAAGGTCTGTCATTAAGTGTTACTATAGTATACAAAGTCTGTCATTAAGTGTTACTATAGTATACAAGGTCTGTCATTAGGTGTTACTATAATATACAAAGTCTGCCATTAGGTGTTACTATAGTATACAAGGTCAGTCATTAGGTGTTACTGTCGATACAAAGTCTGTCATTAGTTGTTACAATAGTTCACATAGTCTGTCATTGAGTGTTACTATGGATACAAAGTCTGCCATTAGCTGTTACTATAATATAGAAAGTGTAGTATATCTCTGTATACAAAAGTCTGTTAGTATAAATCATTTATCAGCAGACTGATCAACTAATTCATATTTGCCTTTTGAATGACACGCCAAAACATGTTCATTAAGGTGCTATGTATTCTTAAATAATCTGTTTTCATTGTCTGTCAGTGCAGTGTTGCTGGACAACAAAAATCTAGATGTTTCAGTAAGTGCTTTTGTTGATTTGTCAACAGTTGAAATAAATATCTATACAGTTTATGGGATTTGTATGTTTATTAAGTTGTTTCTGAAATATCACTGAGATTAAAGATGAAGTTAAAAAGCAATAGATGTTGTTTTATATATGATGACAGTATCAGCACAAGAATGTCCGGACCTTGCCAGGTTGGTGGTCTCGGGTATGCTGGTAACATTACTTGCTCAGTCCAGGAAGGGAAACTAGAAATGTATCCCCATGGTGTTGTAGCCGTTTTGTTTCAGCTTAACAATATCAGTATTAGAAGGCATCAGATGTTGTCATTCGTTGGAGAATGTAAGAATAAAATGACCCATTAAAGCTGATATGAAGGAGCGTCATTCTATAGCTGTGTGTCATGTATAGTTAATACACAAAGCCTCAAAGGTAATACCAGGTAATTTTCCAATGCATAACATTTGTAGAGCTGTTTTTTCACTGCCAGTACCTAAACAGAACTTCTGTTAAATTCTACCATCATCACATAATATTATGTCAAATCTTCCTAGGTATGTCGGATTTATCAGTATGTCGAAGTTTGCTAGTATTTCTTGACCAGTACTTGATAGCTCGTCATCAAATGTCTTTTGTAATGGTAGAGTCACTTTAATGGTTCCCTAGTTGTTCATCAAAATTGATACCGAAATTTGACTTGATACCGGGCAGCCATCTTGAATTTCACATATATTGTGTCAGAGGCCTATATATAAAAGTTGACGGTAGATAAAACGAGGTAGATCATTCTTCAAATTGACTGATTCACGGGTTAACATAACCAATATAAACAAATCCAAGAAAAATAAAAGAGCATGCTCCTAAATGTAAGAACATGAGCCCCCATAGACTGGATTTTGAACGAAATTGGACGCCCATATACTTAACACAGACTACGAATTTTGTAGGAAGGTGGGTGCCAAGATATCTCTAAAATTTTTTGTTTGTTTATCAATGCGTCATTTACATGTGGAGTGATGAGTAAGGAACAAGCAAAAACATACAAGCTGTTTTTTATATGTATATCCTAAGGCAGGAAACAACTTCACACTAATAACGACACTACAAATAAGACTAGACATTAATTTGGCCTGTATCCATGACATCAACGCATTATAAACCGATTCACTTCATGCATGCTTCGGATAGGCGGTGGATGCTAATCAGGTTTAATTAGGTTAGCAATTTCTGAATAACTGGGTCACTGAGCTGTCTCGCTGAAATCCAGTCCTGTCTAATGACAATGACTTTTTACATGCATCGCTATGATGACATTTCCCTATGGGTTGGTTCCGCTGTGTGAAAAGTTAATGCACGGACTATATGTAAGTCAGTGTAGCAATGAAGTTTTACAATATTTCTGTTTCCTCTATATTATGAGGCATTCAAATATCACAAAGAGTCCTCATGTATTAAATTTCTTAACACGTACAGTATGTATTGGTAAAATCTATAAAGGAGGAATGCCAGGTATTCCGCTAATTAAGTACATGACAAATGATTTGGATTTGTGTGGATGATTTTCCAGTGCTGGTTTAGTCCAAATTTAAAGCGGTTGATAACTTCCTCTGGCAGTGAGTTCCAGGGTTCTATTACTTTGTAACTGAAGTAAGTTTTCAGTTAATACCTTTTGACTGGTCTTTTGAATAATTTCTATAATTGACTTCCTGTTGTTTGAGTAAACGTTTTTAACAGGTTTTCTTGTTCCAATCTGTCAATACATATAAAAAAATGTGTAGATTTCAGCCATATCATTTCTTTCTCTTCCGTACTGTGTTAAATTTCAAGGCATAAGCTGTTCGAAATTCAAAATAGTCGCTTTTGACATTTACAAGTACAACTAGTCTACCGTTGCTGTCGAGGTACATGTGCTAGTCACAATTCATTTCCTGAAGTGTTGCTACACGTGATAGTAGATGTATCGGTACATAATACACATAGTACATATAGTGCAACAAGGCCCATATATATTCCCGGTGATTGTCTGGAATATGCCATAGCAAAAAAACAAGAAAGTATCTACATGTCAACATAATCAGAATATGTATTAAAATTAATAAAAGTAGGGCAAATTACGAACAAAAGAAAGATTTACAAAAAGACATTGAAAAAGTACATTAAGAATAAGACCAGATGTTCCGGAAGAGTAAGTGTCTTTTGCTTCTGGTCAGTCCAAGTAACTAATGTCAAGTTCTCAAATGAGAGCAAGGTACATGTATTTAACAGCGGAATAGGCAGAGTTACGATCATCAAACACGTCCAGCTTCATGTTCGTACAAAGAAATAGAATATTTGTCAATTAGGTCACTGTGACGAACGTATAACTTCCCCTTAACTTTTAACAGCCTGCATCTTTTGAAATCCAGTGTGACGAGTTTTTTCGTCAGTCCACGATTCTTTGCACGGAAATCGTCATAATGAGAGCAGGCCATTGAAAATGGGACCAAGCTGCGACAAGTAAACACCATAGGCTGGGATGCAGGGATGTTGCTATCGAGAAATGGACAATTTACAATAGGGCTATTGAAATTGTTACGCTTATCACACAGCTTAGTGGAAAGCTGTTCATGCTTGTTACGTCTGTATCAAAAGGTCGAGAAATGTAATTATGCGCACGCCTATCCATTTGCTTGGTTTCAGCCAAAAATGTAAATGAAACCGATCAATCGCTTGGCTGATACCCATTTTTATAGAATTACAAAAAAAAAAAAAAAAAAAAATACAAATATATATATATTTATATATACAAATACAAACCTACCACCTTACCAAAGTTATTAATTTGATATTCGTCATAATGCTTGAAACAATTGTATGGTGGGTATCGTCTATGAAGCAGAAGACCCTAACACTTCCGAAACACTGTCTTGTTCTCTGTGTAGTTTTCCATGGATTTCCGTGTAATTTTTTCTTTTGCTGATATTTTCGAAAAGTTTGCCGTTATTTCCTTAATTGGTTTAAATATCACTGTGCTTACGTATGTGCTTTTTGTACAATACTTGAATATGGCGGCGATGGAAAACCTGGCCGCTATGGCTCGATGCTTTTTTAGAATTAACCAGTGAGGTTATGTTTATTAATTTTTTGAAACACCAATATTTCACTGCTGAATAAGATTTGTTGAGAAAAGTCAGATTGATATATTTGCCAATATTACTTTGAAAGTCTTTATTTTTTCAGTAACAACAGTTAAATTTTGTCATGGCCTACTGGTTACAACTATAAATCCATGTAACTTTGAACAACTGTGGCCTGTACTTTCAAGCACACCTGTTTTCTGGGTCAGTAAATCTACATCCTCGACCATTTCAGATACCTCATTTGTCTCGTGTGACACATGCAGGATGTTTTTCGTCTTACGCCAACCATATCAGTACCGGCTGAGTAAAGACATATTGCTACCTCCGGTCTATCTCTGTACCAGGTACTTTGTCTAAGATGTATAATATTTACTGAGCTTTTTTCCGTGTAATTAGATATTAAGAATACAAAGAAACGAAATAAATGTCAGTTATATTTTCTGAATCAGTCTTTATATTTGATCTTATAAGAGTAAATAGTTCGTGAAATGTGAATTCAAAGCAAAATTTAAAGATAAAATTCCGTTGAAACAAGAGCACATTTGTTTATAATGAAGTGTAATGATTTCACTCCTGTGTTGGCGTTAAAAACGATGGACGTCATTTATTTTGCAGACTTCCGAGAGATAACTCCTGTGTAATACTGAGAAGGAGGAAGTTGTATAAATAATTAGTATAGATAATGTAAAACTATTAATTCTCGTCTTGGTTTTAGGTTTGCTCATTCCATCTTGTTGTGTAATTTCTAATTCATTACGTAACGTCATTGTCCATTTTATGACATCATAATCGATTTCTGACTCGCGCAGCCAATGATAAATGCTCCAGGGTACATTAGTGACGTAGACAAAACATTATATGGGCGACATTGCATTAAATAAATGTACAGAGTTACTTGATGACACATTTTCTATAACATGGATATGCAATCACATAGAAATAACTGAACTGATAAGATAATTAAGTTATTTTTATATGTGTGTATGTGTAAGACAGAAAAGACATAGCGCGTTCCGAAAAGTTAGTTATTTGAAAAAAAAAAAAATACAAAAATTGAAACAAACGTATGTAGACAAACAATATACATAATTTTTTATCACAATTGACAATGGTGACCAATACCACCGACCTCTGACCTCGTGCCCTAACACATCAAGGTGGTGGTGGTGTCCCCGCGAGCAGCTCGACCGCACAAATGAGAGTCACAGCCGAGCCTCACACGATGAAATACTTTGTTTACAGAGACAAACATTAATAAACATACATCCTTATATAACGTTTTGATCCACGCCCAGGCTACAAAGGTCCCCATAACCACTGAATTTATCATTGTATATGTATCTATATAAGCTGGGACAACTGAAAACATCTTTCACTTTTTTAGGTCGTGCAAGCTTCAGATCTTTAACATCGTCTAAAGCATGTCGGTGACTTGGATGTTTTTCCTAATTGGGCTCCTGCCGCTTGTCAAGGGATACTGCTTCACTCGTAATGGGCGTATCGATGAGACAGGTAGGATATAGCAAACACATTTTAGAATATTTCTTTATTTGTGGGACAGGAATAAGACAATTCTTTTAAAAGTCGTTAATAACATATGTTTCATTTAAAGAGTTGTAATACATTGTATTGTGGTACAGGACAGGACTGTATTAAATGTTTATCAAGAAAACAATATAAACTGATAAAAAGTAAACAAACTCAGGATAATTTATCGTTATTAAGAGGAAATCACTTGAAATTGTTTAAGTCACAATGTTCAGTAATTGAAAGGCATATAAATGATACTAAGCTCTCAATGTACTTAAATTTGTATCTCGAGTTAATTGCATGTCTGATTTCTGTAACTGATTGCATTTATTGTTTATATCAAATAAATAAATAAATAAATAAATAAATAAATAAAATAGTTTCAAAATAATGTCGGTAATTATTTCACATGGACATTTCTTATTGTTGATGATAAGTTTTTATTTCAGTTTTTTGTTTAATGGAGGTGACAAATGAATATCTATGAATTACTGACACACTGCTATTTGCCGTCTTGTAACTGAATTTTATACGTTAAAAAGGCTATTACAGAAAGCAGGAAGTATAGGCTAGTGTGTCAGATCCATACAAATGTCTCTATCATGAATTTTCGATGAGCACACTTTCGACAAAAGTATTCCATTTCAATTACATCTTACAGAGAATTTTAGTGGAAATCAAGGCCAGCATTAGAAGTCCGAGTAGGTGAAAATATAAGATAAATGTAAGATTTTTCTCGAAGAATATTCACTGTCAATTCTACATTTTCTGAAATTTAATCAAATTGTGAGAGTTATATGACAGGAATCTCAATCTACCGCTCTCCTTATCAACGCAGAAAAAGTGTGATAATTACATGATCGATATCATCGATATCGATATAAATTTTAAAAAATGTATATATGAAAGCGTTTTCAGATTCATGCTCGAGTACATTCTGTTACAATCTGAGGTTTATTTTGTAACAATTGTCATCATACGGAGACGATAATGCCATTCTTCAACATTAACAATATCATGCTCTTGAATACATGTTAGCGTCATGTAAGAGTTATAATCTGTATTCAATGTTCTAAAACACTCATGGGATATTAAGTCAGTCTATGATATACGTAATATTTGTTGGATAATAATGTACCATATATCGAGTAAGAGTAATCAAAACACAAAATTTCAACAAAAAAGATACAAAAATAAAAAAACTAACAAATAATCTAAACATTAATAGTGTTTCCAAGTCAACAATATCTTGACATGTATATATCATACACATTTTAAGTGGTGCTAACTTTTCTGTATCAATTTCACTTTTTATGCCTTTTGGAAAGAATCAAGATTTTCGATTCAAGCTTATGATTAAAATGCCTCATAAGTTTCAAAATTTAAGCCGTTAATTATTATCACTAACGAGTCCTAGAAGGACGAAACAGCTGTAGGATGTAGCATCACTAACGAGTCCTAGAAGGACGAAACAGCTGTAGGATGTAGCACCACTAACGAGTCCTAGAAGGACGAAACAGCTGTAGGATGTAGCACCACTAACGAGTCCTAGAAGGACGAAACAGCTGTAGGATGCAGTTAAGCTCATTGTTTGACTCTAATTTATCTAATTCTGATATTTATAAAATGAAGAAGGTATTATTTTTTTTGTATTTTTTGTACGACTACCGAGATTAAAGGCGGTAGACACTGATGGTGGGCATGTAGCACCCGAGGTTTTCTGTAACCTGCACGCAACTTTTTAAAGCATACACATGTACTTGTCGTTCTTTTAAAATCATCAGGTATACAAAAATAAAGAAAGTTATTGAATTATGGGGCTAGCACACCTTCCCATGTAATTTTTTTTACATTTCTGTCGATCACTTCAGATTTTCCTCAGTCCTTTCCAACATATAGGTCGAAATAAAGTCCACAGTAATCACTGATGAATTTTAGAATAACGAAACAGCCGTGTTTACAAAACTAACTCTTCGTTTGATTCTGCATTCTAATTCTAAATTTGTATTTTAATGTGCCATTCCTCTGTGTGTATTTTGTACAATCACCAGAATAATGAAAGAAGCCCGATGGTACCAAATATATAAACGAGTAAAGGTGATGGTCGTCGTGGGTAAAAGGATGTGTCCCTATAGGGAAAATATAGGATTATTTCACTACGAATGAAGAAAAGTTCTCAACATAGTAGTGGCATATTTGACAAAAAAAAAAGATTCAAAAACAGGTAAAATATCGACATGGTAATAGAATCCCGATTCACAGATCTGTAAAACTAGGGTAAAGTATGGACAAAATTATTTACACAGGCACTAACGCAAAAGAACACGGATAATAAAACCAGTTGGGTAATCGTCAACTGGTTCATCGACGACGCCCACTAAATGAAAATCTAGATCAATCTAAGTAAGTAGTGTCATGTTCCAAAATGAGAACAAGGTAAACAATAACGGAACGATCTAACCTTCATGTCATACAAAGAAGTAGAATAGTTCTCAACGAGTTCACTTAAAAACCATAAAACATCCCCATAATTTTTATCAACATGCATCTTTTGAGCCCTTGTGTTACGAGTTTGTCAGTCAGTTGACGATTTCTCGCACGAAAATCCTGCTAATGGGAAGAGGCCCTTGAATATCGAATCGACTGTGATATGTAAATACCATAGGTTGGAGATGCAGACAAATTGAACCATACGGAAACATACACTCAAACCTATGTAATCTAACACATGGAAGAAAAACAAAATCACAAGACAGATAAAAAAAAAGAAAAAAAAAGCGTTAAATTACAGAAAAAATACCAACATAGTATACTTGCTCTACCGAAAATTCAAACTATACCTTAAAATGTGACTACCTAGGTCACGTAACATGTAACGTCATCTTTCTCATATGTTACCTGAGGACCTGCTGATTCACACTAAATACGTTATACTATTGTAGACTGTTGTACATGTCGACGTAATACGCTCGTGTCACAGTAACTGACGTGAAAATAACAAGCACATCGCGTGGGTGACGAATAGATTGTGTCATCTGAGGCTACGTCAAAGTGGAAGATACTGTGAACATAAATGAAAAAGAATTTACTAAGGCTATTTGAATTTAAGAAAAAAAACCCATAAAAACAGTTTTGTAGTTTAAGCATTTGCACACCTGCTGTTTCTCATTAACGCACAACAGATTTTTTTGCTTTGAAATATGTATGTTCTTGAAAAACTTGAAAGTGCTGTATTTTTCTATCGTCGCTTTAGTAAACTGCATTTTTTTATTATCATCTCAACATTACTTTAATAGTACGAAATTTAACACATTGTTTTAAGGTAAGATAGTATTTTGACCAAACATAAACATTTCATAACCACTTTTAAATATGATATAATGCTATAAGGGTATCAGTATGAATATAATTATGATAATTATCAACTAAGCTGCAGGTGGTCTAAGATTTTTTGTACTTTGTCATCAGATGGCTTTAGTTTTGTTTTAAGATCCACTATATATATATATAGATAGATTAACAACCAAAGTATTTACTATTAGGCAATCGAGAAGGTCCATTTGGTAATCTAGCTCTAGAAATCTCTATGTTATTTACACAAACATATTGTACTAGATGATTGGTTGGCTCCTGACTTTATGACGCTTTTTTAAGATTAATTAATTATGTGTCTCTACACTTTCCAGTGTCCGGGCGACAAATTCCTATTTGTGAGTACAATGGACTAGACATCCTCGATGGCTCCTCGTTCAGGACAGCTGCATGTATGGACTGCAAGTGTACCAATGGTCTCATACAGTGTTGCGGGTATGTTCTCGTAGATTTTATGGCAGAAAATCTAATACCAAAATCCCAATCCTTGTAAATTCCCTTAGGGATGGTTACATTAAAATTGCGTCGCGATTTTGATGACTTTAACGGTGTGAATGGTATATATAGAATTATTTCTCGGTTTCCATTAGCAACATGCATGACAAATTCCATTCATTTCACTTGAAACGGAGGCTATTGTAAGATATTTTTTTTATCTTCGCACAAACAAACGTACTCCTGATGAATTCTTTCACATTGGCAGTTTGACGTCAAAACGTTTTATTACTTGGAACGTCAAAAATTATTTGGAATCATCGAATCATTATGATTCTGCAGACACAATTCCTCCATATGATATTGGAAAGAGTTCTTTATAGTACATATTTAATAGTACTTATACTGTAATATTTGTAATAGGAATGATATTCGAAATACATTTACTCTCAACATTGTATAACCTGTTCTATAGTTTGTTAATATGTCATTATTTTATGTTTACGCACTAAGTAGTATGTATACAAATAACTGACACTGACAGAGTGATAACTTTTGTCTATGTTTCTGCGTTATTAAAGGTTTGGTGTTCAAAACGAGACTACATACGCTCCGCCATTATGCACTGTCATATCTGACGGATGTGAACCACTCTTGGTTCTGAAAAGTAACAACACACTTGACTGCTACACCGGACGTCCTATCAAAGAAATTCAGCGCCCGACCGTTGGCCCTGGCACAACCAATCCACAGTTCCCTGGTTTTAATTATCTGATTCCAAACATATTTCCTCAAGTATTCTACCAAAGGAACCAGCCACAACAGGACAATACTTTAGGTAATCTGTTGCTGTTGGGACGGCTTGCTGATGGTTTGTGATGAAGGTGAGGTTATGATGCACAGATACCTCTTGCAGCGATGCTACTAACCTCAAACAGCGAACGTTTAAGACAAAATTTTATATACGTGTGATATATAATCGATTCATGTATTATGTTTTCCTATTAAAATTGAATGAATATCGATAATATATATCATTGTTGAAATATTTCACAAGACTAATTTGTAGAATGATAAAGATATATATATATCCAATGGAAGTTCTTTATCATAATCAATTTTCGAACTTGTTGTGATATTAGAACAGCTGTTTCCCAACATTTTGGTTTCTCATACCATGATAAAAAGATTATACTACCCCATTCCAACCCCATCGCCAAAAAGTTTAAAACGTCTAGTTATAAATCGTGAGTGAAATTTTACAGATGGTAAGATATCAAAGCCTTGCTTGAATAAGGTACCTCCCTTCCAGGAGAAAAGTGATACCGAGAGAGAGAAAATATACTAGCTTATCTTAATAGGAATCTTTATTCTTAATAAGAATACAAGTTATATTCCATATATATGACAAAATCAGAATAGTTGTTTCGAACTAGCGTATCTTAAAAAGAATACATATTCCATACTAGACTATTGTTATAAGAATACCATAGAAACTTATTCTGCAAAAACAACCGTCAAGAAAATACAAATATTAAAATCATATTCCAAACCCAAATTTAAAAAGATCTAAGGTAAAATTTGAACAAAAGAAGAAAAATTTGCACAGAGACTCATGATAAAAGTACAAGCATACCAAGACCAGGCCTTTCGCTTCACCGACAACACCCGCCATGTAAACCTTTGCCGATCTAAGTAAGTATCATCAAGTTCTCAAATAAGAACAAGGTATTCAACAACGGAATAAGCAGACTAATGAGCATCAAACACGACCAGTTTCATATCGCACCAACAGAATATTTCTCAATGAAATTATTATGACGGCCGTAAAACTTCCATTTGTCATTTTCATCAACCTGCATCTTTTAAAACCGAAAGGTAATAAACTCTTTAGAATTTGTTAAAATCCACATAGGTCCTACTTTTAATTTCACTTCTTAAGTAAATAATGCTACAACTTGACTGTGACCCAAATCTGATACTGCTAAGCAAGGTGGTTGGTAGTTTTGACAAAGGTTTGTTAATAGTGATGTTAATATGAATTCTTATAAAGATTAGGAATCCAGTATAAACGGGGGTGGTACGCATCCTTATCACTTACGGGCAATTTGCAATATAAAAGTTTGTAATACATAATTAATTAGTATTTTTTCTTTTGAAAGGTTCCATAATATATAGGTGGGATTTCCTTGGTTATCAAGCATGCCTATTTGTTTTAGTATACAAGAAATGTAATAATGTTTACAAACAGTGATATTGGATGCACTGTCTTCAGGCACAATAACACATCTGTCATGTGAATATTGCAGATGGATTTAACACCAAGATTGCGAAAAGCCGACTTGTTATGCTTTTAATTTAGATTTCAAGCTGAAAATTCTGATAAGAATGATGGACAGTAAATCCAATGCAGCATGTTCTCGTACCATACATCCTGTGCTGTAGTTTTCAATGTAATCCATAAGTATCTTGAAAATAATATTCCAATTAACGGACGGGGTTTCACGATATTTAGCATTTTTCATAAAAAGCTCTCGTTATTTATTATTTTAGATAATTCTTAATCCTTTATCATGACACTTTTAATAGAATCTTTTCTTACCAAGACATATTCAGTAAGAATTTTTCCTTACCAAAACATACTTAATAACAATCTTTCCTCACCACAGCATACTCAATATGAATCTTTCCTTACTAAGATATACTTAATTAAGTTTTTTCATGGAGGGTCTGCATTTCAGCATTTGCAAGGATTGAACACAGTGAAATTAGTACAGGAAGTCTATTTCACGACTTCACTGAAAAATTCATTATTTCTGCTTCAAGCTTTTTGAAAAAACGCTAAAATTTGAACTACCGAAAAATCTCTTTTACCGTATTTATTATACCTACATTTCCTTTGGAGATCCTTCCCACGAATGATGTTTCTGATTATGTACATGTACTGTAACCGTGAGGCACGAGTGATCAATACGTACACTATTTTGTTGGTGTCATTTGACCATTATATCAATTTATACCTCCTACGTTTAACGTTCACTTTCATAAAGCACAAGTAATACATATTACTTTACACTATAACGTGACATCAAATATAGCAGTAAGTTGCACTTTATACGAGAAACTATGGTTATCTTCACAAGATTATCATTATCAAATTGTAAATTAGAAAATGTAAAGGATAATTCACAAAAAAAGTGTTCATGTATGAGCCTATTATTAATGACTATTTCGTTTACCACAAGGAAGTACCTTTAGTAAACAACAAAAGGAAATCCTAATATTTATTTCACATACAACTCACGAATATGTTTTATTATTTATCACTTTGTCACATTGACAATTGAGTGATGTTATTTCTTTCTTACAAACATGATGATGTTGGTACATGAAACAATTCTTACCGACAATAACAGAGTAAAAATAAAAGGGGCCACAGTTAAAGTTAAACATATTACCAGGGAATTTTTTCTGTGTGAGAGGATTGCTTAGGCACATATCTTCCTATTACGTCTCTGAAATCATTGGCTATATTTAGAAAGATGATCAGGTGTCTCGCGCTGTATTATGCCACATTTTCATGTCCTCCTCCTTTCTTGTACAATGTAAATGACAGGTGTTCGATTCTCCGATCGAATGTGATCACGATCGGGGTCACCTGAATGACCTCGTGGATTTTCTAAGGACTTTTTTCCAAGATTTACGTCACTATCGTGCTTCATTTATGAAGTTTTATTTTTTAACTCTGTCAGGTATATGTCACATCTCGAACTATTGGGCACTTTTCGTTCTATAAGTCAGCGTCGTGGATGATGTAAGAAATATCTATAAATAAATTTAGGTTTACAACATCTTTGGACCCTAAGTATCACTGACGAGTTCTTGACGGATGAAACTGCTCTATGATGCATTTGAGATCATTATTCGGCTCTAATGTATCCATTTCTAAATTGTATTGAAAGGCATTTTCTTGTGGGAAGAAATAATAACAAAAATGGTGAAATAAATTCAAGGCTTTATTCATTAAGAAGTACACAAACAAAGTATATAGAGAAAGTAGAAGTAAGTTCTCACTTATCTATCTTCATATCAGAAAGAACTTGGTTACTTAAAAGCTCATCAATCATGCATAACAGCAAATGGCTTTTCGTAATGTTCATATGGATATGTCCAGTTCATTCAGGACTAAAACCACGGCATGGTATTACATTACTGTTTAACAGTCTACATCCTAAATTAATTTTGTCACAGTTATATTGCATGACCTTGTCTTTGTTAAACCTGTGCAAAATAGTAAACGTTGATTTCTAAAGTTATTTAAATAATCATATTCACATCTCGACACCTCTTTCTATCCTATTCTTTGTACAAGCTATACATTTGAGGTGGTTTTCTAAGCCAGTCCCAGAAGTTTCAATGCTAGTAGTCGATTGAGTTCCATGTCTGTGGACGGTTGTTCAGATTGTTGCTTTTGTTTCGAAACAACTTCTTCTTTAGGATTTGGAAAAGGTTCGTTGGTTCTCCTCATCGTTACTGATCTAGCAAAGGTTTTTTGCGGATCCTGAGAAATCGGCCAAGCCATTGGTGAACCAGAGGACACATGAACTGACCTAGACGATTGCTCTAAAGGAACATTATCGGATTCAGTTGAAATTCGAACTGTCCTTGAGCTTGATGACCGCATTGGGTTTTGTGCGGGCCAAATAGTAGGCAGTCTAGTAACCATGTTTTCGATGATATTTTCCGGCCAGTGACTATTTAGTCTGTTTGCAACCATCATTGGTTGGGTCCTGATTTTTGGTTTTTCGGAATCACTGCTAGATGAATGGAAGACACGACGAACGACCTGGTCCATTCCTTGTGGTCCAATGTTACTTACATGTACCATTCCATACTGGTTAGGCCGTATGGGCTTTTTAGTGAAGCAGTTCAGTTTGTGATCTGCCGCTAGAACAATAATCGGCTCACATCCGTCTGGTACAACATCACATTTCTTTGGTACCTGGAATGTTCCGGCGTAAAATCCAGTTCTGTAAATATATTTCGAACAAAATGGTTGATTGAAGCTGTTACTCAATCTTTCACAACTTTAAATGTGAATTATTTGATCAGATAGTAAAATACCTGATAGTAACAGGTAATCTAACCATTGATAGAAGCATGTAGTCTACCTAGTGACAGTAATGGACATCCTGACATGTATTGCTTCTTTTCAATTATTGATCTATTTGATTTAAAGGAATGCAACTTTCAAACTTGTCGGTCTTGGGACATTAATTCTAAAATTTAAGTTGACAAAAGTAATGTCTCTTTTATATACATATTCAATTGCAGAGTCTCTTTAATAATTCTACGTTTACAATGCAACATACAAAATACCAACACAAAATACAAATAAGCGAAAGACTTTTACAAGGTATACAATAACGAGCATCAAACAAATCTAGCTTCATATCGCATAACCTGTAATTCTCGAAACATTGTATGGTGAGTATTCGTCAGCCGCCGACATTAACTCATAAGGAGTTAATGCGTTTAAAACACTCTACCAGATAACAACAGCAAATAGAAGAACTATAAAGAGATGAAGGTGTAATAAATAATATTTGTCTCCTTTCTTTATGCAGGCGAAACTTAAATTGTGTCGATTATGTTTTGTTCGACTACAGAAATTCATTAATCCTAAGAATGACGTATACACACTTATTTGATGGATAGGCCATGGTACGTTTATTTGATTTAAATAAATAAATAAATACTTAAGTAAATATGTCACAAAGCCATGATATAACACGATTATCGTGCAAGGAAATTAATAGTTGAATTTAATTTTCTTATGGATAAGAGAAAATGTATAAGGTTGATATACTTTCATTGAATTGCCGCAAACAATTGCTTTAAGCAGAAGACGAGGCGTTCAGATAATGATACCGTCACTTGTTAAAATTTAAAATAAAAAAGAACCCAATCAAATCAAATTATTTCATTTATGAATAGAAAGACATGAATATTTCTTATAAAACAAATGTAAAATGATGATAAAAGTAATGCAATTTTTAATTTTTATTCTATGTTTTCTCATTTACCGATATCTCAGATTCAGATGTCTTTTCTGCAAAACGAACTTAACTGTTTAGTGCTTCAAACCTTGAAAGGAATACGATGTACCTAATAAAACACATCGTGATGATTGTCTCTAATATAACATCCACTGGAGATTAAAGCGCACTACACTGTCCCATCAAACGGTACTTACCCACAACAGTGAAGCCCATCCTGCCGACACTGGCAGTGTTCACAGTCTAGAGTGTCAAATGTGGAGCCAACTGTCACGTTCATGCGAACACGTGTTTCATTGTTCATGGACGGATGGTGGTCTGTAATTTCAGCATGGCTGGTGTACTCACAGTAATACCTCTTGGAACCGAAAACTGAAAAAAAAAAAGAATTACCTCGAACAAATCTGTGTCATTAAAGCAAATGAGGTTATATGAAAATCTGTATAAAAGACACGAAAGTGAATTATTATCTATCAACACACGTTTAGAATTTGCTGAGTGATATTTCACTACACTTAGAGTCGCTGTGTGTTCAAAATTTATTCGCAAAGTCCAAAATAATGGAGTCAGCTCCATGCATGCGCGCTGTTAATTCACCTTCAGTCCCCAGGGTTTACCGTAACCTGTAAGTTATGTTTAAGTTCATTCGAATAGGGCACAGTTCAATATATCTACATGTAGTTCTACTTCACTTTTTTAATCAACTATTCTTATTATGAAATTAGGATATTAAGACCCCTCTCACTTAATTATTGCATTTGTTTTTTTTAACTTTTATTCTGAATTCGTGTTAAAAGGAACTTCTCTCTTATTTCTATTTGGTACAATATCCACATTATCTTTGATACGGTATGTGATAGAATGAAAGAGAATAAAAATGATATTCTTTTCGACATGCGTAGTTGTATATTTTTGGGATTTGAACGACCAGGTATATCATTTTAAATTTATATTAGATTATGAAATTAACCACATATCAATATTATTTGCAAATGGGCATTGGTAACACTCAATATATGGACATATGGATACAACCTTCAAACTGCATGTATTGGTACTTCATCCAGACGAATGCAGTTGGTTCTAAATGATATACTCACATGTCGTTTCGTTTTTGATAGGACTAAACCAACAGGATGCTTCTGCAGCTGCCAAAACTGATGCTAACAGGATCACAACTCCTTGGAAGGAGGCCATTGTCAATAATGCTTTCAACTTGCTAGATTTGTTCTCTTAAAATTAACCTCCCACACTTAGCGCGATGTCTTATGTACTGTGGGTAAGGGAGCACGATTCGGTCAGTCATCACTCATGATGTCAAGTCATTTGTTAACACTCCGCTTATGGCTAATAATAACTGCTCATTGGATGGCTTTGAGCAGCATTTGGGCGTCATTAGTTTTCTGTGATGCACTGTTGCTATCGGGAGTGTTCAACATCACAAGAAATTGAGGAAAACATACGCATTTGATTCGTGGTACACACACCAGTTATGTAGAATTTCCTACAAAAACAGACACGATCACGGCATTGACATTCAGGTTGATGTACAACTTTGTTTTGAAACAGAATGTTTGACGCGCTTCTGGTTGTGGATAAAAAAAAACTCAAATCAAAGGTGCTTGGGATGTGTATCGTGTGTTTATACTGAAATCAGAGGGCTGAGGAGTGGAAGTGTTCTAAGCAAGTCTGCATTTCGTGTGTGTCATATGGAATGCAAAAAAGCGGGTACAGAGAGGAGGATGGGGATGATTCAAGGGGTCCTGACATTTCCTCCTTTTCAAATCGCACACACGCAATAAAAATAAAGTAGATAAATAAAATAGAATAAAATAAAGATACCCTCCGAAATGAATGTACCGAGGAAAAGCCATGTTAATACATGCATAGAAAATGCACCGGAATGCATTAATGGTGCACCCCGGACTCCCTTAATAATGGAGAAAGGACGAAGGGGAGGGAGGAGGGGGTATATCTGTCCTAAACACAACCTATATCTCCTTATATGTCGCCCGAGACAACCCTCTTCCAGAAGCACAAAATATAGTATATGTGACAATTATGAGTATTATAATTGTTTGAAGTATGTCAATTTTCCTTACAAATTGATCAGAATGTCTTGATAGCAAGTACCTTACCGGTAGCAAGGGGGGAAGGAATCTATTATCTGGTAAGTAGTAAGCAAGATATTTAAATGATCATAGATATTAGAGAGAATGTTTTATATCGTAACAAATATTATATCAATACTAAGTAAAATACAATCTGACATAACTTCCTAACAGCAGTGCCTACAAGCATACATTATATTCAAGTGGGTTTATATTCATTCTAATAACACGCCAAAAAACCTCGTATGTCTAAATATGTGATGTATAACGTGCGCATGTATGTTGGTATGTTAGAATATACAAGTATGCGAAAGTGACGATGGAAAGATTAAATAGATATAACACTAAATGAGAATGGGATGAAACTGATACACGAGAGTGTAAACAAAGGAGAGAGTGTGTTTTGAGTGATATTCCTCCTGAATGAGGAATTCACATTGTATAATAACACAAGGAATAGAATTCTGAATAAAATTTTAATTAGAAAATAAAATCCTGTACAAATCAGTATATACGCTAATATCTGCACAACAATGACTCCATGATATGTTTATTATTATATCTATTTGCATCTACTGACATTGTCTACCAAATATATTATATACGTAGTATTGTTTAGGACCACGAATTAATCTGTCAGTTGATAAAAACAAGAAAATACCGACGTATTTACAGAATAGCTCAAATCAGTAGAAAGAGATGAATGTATTACTTCTTTAAACATTGCTCAATACTCAATAATGCCAAATACTGGTGAAATGATTTTATCGTTGTGGAAAAATGAAAAGATAAAATGAAAAAAAACATGCACTGTAACATCATGCTTTTTTGCTATTTTACAAAAAAAAAAAAGAACTCTCGCTGGCGTTTAATTTCACGGGTCTTATCTAATTCACTTGTGCTCAACTTCATTTCTTTTTTCTCTGGATATCATTTCATGGACATATTAATTCGTAGTTAAAGAGTAATCACGAATTTAACCAAACTTAAATTCCTGCGAATAGTGATGTGGCCTGCTGAATTTTAAATATTTTCCATCTTAATCATTATTTATTTTTAAATAAAACACATGCTAGTTTCAACCCGACATAGGAGCAATTACTTAGGCGTAGACGTTGCTATTTATTACACAAAGTTCTAACCAGACGTCTCTAAATCACAGTTGGTATTATATATAGATTTTCTCATTAACAAAGATGTCAGCTCGTAATAGAAATGTCTTCATTACTTGGCTTGAATAAATTAACTCTACTAGATAAAAACCCGAATTCTAAAAACAACATAATAATCAAAATATTTCATCGTGGCAGAAATAATTCAAAAACAAAAACGGGTTGTTCATTATAATGTTCCACTGCTTTCATTAATAGTCTTCTACCCCTGTAACCTTACGATTCTGGGTGAGGGGAAAGCTGTATGTTTTCCACCCATGTCATTGATACAGGTTTCTATAGTAGCCCTGTAACCTTACGGTTCTGGTTGAAGGGAAAGCTGTATTATTCCACTCCTGTCATTGATACAAGTTTCTATAGTAGCCCTGTAACATCCAGGATCTGGTTGAGGGGAAAGCTGTATGTTTTCCATCCATGTCATTGATACAGGTTTCTATAGTAACCATGTAACATCCAGGATCTGATTGAGGGGAAAGCTGTATTATTCCACTCCTGTCATTTATACAGGTTTCTTTAGTAGCTCTGTAACATCCAGGATCTGGTTGAGAGGAAAGCGGTATTATTCCACTCCTGTCATTGATACAGGTTTCTATAGTAGCCTTGTTACCTTAAGGTTCTGGTTGAGGGGGAAAACTCTATTATTCCTTGTCTGTCCTTGATACAGGTTTCTATAGTAGCCCTGTAATCTCAAGGTTCTGATTGAGGAGGATAGCCATGGTCGAGTTGAAGATTCGATCAAAATTTTCTGTGTCTATGGCTTTGGTAAGGTGACAGTACACGTCATCCGTTCGACGGCCTGCCGTGATAAACTGATTGCAGATATATTGGGACGAATCGCTGAAAGAATTGTCACCTGCAGAAAGAAAAAATCGAAATTAGTTTCAAAATCACCAATTTGTGCACTCAGAACTATTTGTATTTAAATGTACGCTATTTATTAATTATTTATTTTTAGAACACCTTTTCCAACCTTAAACTGCTGATATATAAAGTATCAACCGATTATTTATAGCAGCCTTTTGATTAGGGTATTGTCCATATGTGTTTAGTATTTTATGTAGCTTTCATTAAACGTATTATAAAGAAGAACAAAATTCAAGATTTACCAGATATTTGCTCATCAAAGGACGAGACATATAAATAACACAATGGAAATTTTCGTGTGAAACACCATGTTATGTTTCGCCTTGTTTCATGTGTATACTATTTACCTTTATATTCTGGAAAGCAGCACTGGAGAGTTTTCCTTTTTATTAGGATTTGGAACACATCTATTTTATTTAAGAAAAGAACAAACGCTGATTTCGAAAGATATTTGTTTCTACATAAGGACCTAAACAGCGCTAACGACTGGAGAAGTTTGCTCTGAAAGAAAAAAACAAATTTTCATAGAGTGCATTGAAATCATGCATAAAGTTTAGTGTTTTGATAAAGAATATAGATGAATGAAAAACACGTATGGACATATTATTGATTTCAACACCAATCAAAGCTGAGGATTCTTTATATGTTCTATATCGAAATGAAAGTCTGATAACATGATAACTTGTTTATATTAAATAAAAATCTAACGCTTAGATATTGACCTATTTACAAACTAATCTACCACACAGACATATGCAAAAAAACTTGTCAAGGGGAAAAGGTCTCCAAATGTGTTTTGTATGTAATTTTAGTATGTGGAACAGAAACATGTTTCAAAATGTTTTCTTATTATGAAGTTCGGCAGTTACCTTTCTAGTTAAGTCGTCTATCTGAAAGTAGAAATTCATGGCTGTCACAAATATAACGGCTGTGACGTTGTCAAAACAATGAATCCACTTCCTTCGTTCTGACGTCTGTCCTCCAACATCTACCATACTGCAAAAATGTTGACGTTTGTATGAATGCTAAGCTAATGTTGATGTGAATAACATATAAAGGTGGTATCTGATATTATTATTTGAAAAATAACTTGTGAAGGTGAAATTGGTGTTTGATCTTGTCATGTGAATAACAAGTGGTGATGAATGGTGGTGTCTGAACTTATGTGAATAACACGTGAAGGTGAAGATGGTGCATGATCTTATTATGTGAATAACACGTAAATGTGGTGTCTGACATTATTTTGTGAATATCATGTGAAGGTGGTAGCGGATCGAACAACTCCATCCACTAACCATGCCTAGTTGAATGGATCCGTTAACTTTATATGGTTAACGCGATCCGCTAACATCCGCTCATCATGTTTAGTTGAATGGATCCGTTAACCATACATGTTTAACTCGATCAACTAACCATGCCTAGTTAAATGGATCCGCTAACCATGTACGATCAATTCAATTTGCTAACAACTTTTTGTACGAAATCATTTCAATTTCTGACAAAGAGAAAAGGGTCATGGTAAAGATGCAATCAGTATTTACCATAAAATTTTTCCTTTGAAGTCAAAGTTGAGTTCTGTGACACCTGAAGTAGTAACCCGAGCGCAGAGGATATCCTGGTCAGTTGGGACGTAATCAGGGGAAGCTATCCGGTCAAACGACCTGAAAAGGCTACAATATTTTGAAATTTTCAAAGTATCAGCAAAGTATTGTCTTAAATCGTTATCTTGATGTGTATATACGAATAAGTAACACGCCCATTATTTAAGAAACAAAAAACATATACTGATAAATAATGGTAATACATTGGTGGTTATTTTATGTTTTGAAGGTCTAACTCACTACTGCGCTCCATCTCCAAGACAATATTCCTGGCCCCTTTTCATGCAGGCTTGAAATCCTCCTGAGTTGTATAAACATTTCAACTCCAACCGGAAATCCAGTATGTTTTGGAATGCATTGGCGTTCGTTAGATACTTATCTGCATATTCCTGCAATTCAGTTAATGTATTTAATGTATAAAGCATTGTTTGGTTAGTAATAAGTAGCAAATTCATCATCGTCATGTTTCTTAATTGCTTAGAAATAATTGACATTGTACTGTTAATATATAAGCGTATAATTATTATATATAAAATTGTTTTGTAAATGGCTTATGCGCTGTCAGGAAACTGAATCTAATGACCTATATTCTTTGCCGTTTCAATGCAAATAACAAATAAACTCTTTTGACATATTTCTGATAATTTGATAATCAACTATCCAAGTTTTGTCTATCTAAATTATGTTTATTGCTACTCTTTATCACATAGATATTAACATTCAACAATTGTATAGCACATTTATGCTTTCATTTATGAATGTCAATGAATACTTATTTAACATGCAGACAACAATAAGTGAGTTTTAACTTTGTTCTTGTATTTGGCTTGGATTTAATACTTCAGACACAAAGGAGTCATTTTTCTAGACAGTGATAGTACAACTATGGAAACCGAACGCAGCGCACAGGTATTCAATTGTGAGTTTTTGGTTATTTTGAATAACGATGGCCTCAGTGCCAGGAGAACAGAACTACGATTTCCCCTAATTTATAACTATTAGTACATTTAAATATCCTTGCCTATAACTAATTGTCTTCGTTTCTAATACAATATTACGTATCAACAGAAACCAAAACCAAGCAATGCAAGTGATCAGCTTACAAAACAACGAAATATAAGGTAATCACACGAGAAGAAATAACTGGCTTTCATATACAGTGCTGCAGATAAGTGACCGAAACGATAAAATGACAATCTCGTCTATTATTGAACTTTGCTTTTTTAACATTACATTGTATCTGGCGTGACAGTAAAAAATGAGTTCAGAACTCATCGGTAATTGTCTGATAATACCAAACTATAACCTGTCATGACTTTGTGTTATATGTGGTATCATCTATTACAACTAAGCTATAGTCTATGATTTTTTTCTCAAGTAGTTTTGTCTCATAATAACCCTCTTGCTTTGTGTAATATGTGATGTCTTCTGATAATGTAAGGCTATAACCCGTTCTTGTTTTGTGGCACATGTGGTGTCGTCTGATAATGCAAAGTTATAACCCGTTCCTGCTTTGTGTTATATATGATTTGGTCTGATAATGCAAAGCTATAATCCGTTCTTGCTTTGTGTTATATATGATTTGGTCTGATAATGCAAAGCTATAACCCGTTCTTGCTTTGTGTTATATATGATTTGGTCTGATAATGCAAAGCTATAACCCGTTCTTGCTTTGTGTTATAGATAATATCGTATGATAATGCATAGCTATAACCCGTTCTTGCTTTGTGATATACATGATATGGTCTGATAATGCAAAGCTATAACCCGTTCTTGCTTTGTGTTATATATGATATGGTCTGATAATGCAAAGCTATAACCCGTTCTTGTTTTGTGTTATATGTGTTACATGGTGTTGGCGCTTTACCTTTGTTGTCTGGTCGTCAAATGCGATATTGAGCACAGCCATATTCTGCAGAATGATTTCAGTGTATTGAAGGAGATTCTCTATTATTACTGCCTTGAAATCCATTCGTTCTGACAGACAAAAACCATCTTTGTGCAAAATCCTACAACATAAAATCGACAACAGCTAGCAAGAAGTGATGAGGTCCGACTGAACTGAAAAAGCATTTTTTATTCATTTTGAATTGTCATATCAATGTTTTATGATAATGTTTTGACACTAGTTTTTTCACAGTTTAATTGCTAATGAAAGATTAAGCGTATAAGGGGAACAAGGCCCAATGGATGTATTGAGTTTATAATGCGCCTGTCTAACTGGTACAATGAGTCTTGTCAGTTACAACTGTTGCTCTGTCCTCCAGTAGACAAAACAACAATACAGATTATATACAATGACATTGATGCTATGTAATGGTCATCCAAACTCTTTATTATTCGTATTGTATTTGATTAATGATATATTTGTTTGTGAGGATGATGCTTACAAAATTAATCTTAAAACATTGCAAATATGAATTATGACCAGTGTAGACACTTCAAATGTGCATACATAAGAACAATTTAGCCATCATGATCAACTGATTGTCGTTAGTCTCACTCAATAACGTCAATATAGAGAACGTTCCTTTCAAAAAATATTTCTTTCTTTGTAAGACGAAGAAGAAGGAGAAGATGAAGAGGAAGAAGTAGAAGAAAATTAAATCATTAGTAATATTTTCTTGACTGACTATAGAAATCATGGATATGAAGATTTTCATTGATATACTAAATACGTAGGAGATTCTACAGTAATTGATATGGTTAAGAATAAACTTCAGCTGATGCTCCATGTTGTGACAATTATTACGTACCTCATTTGCTTAAAAAGTGTAGTTTTTCCAGACCCGGAATCACCTGTAAAGATCAGTTGTATGTAGACATTGATGTATTGTTGTACATGTATTTGTGAAACAATCCTCAATTACACGGGTACGTGTTTTCATTCATTCAGCCGCCATGTAAATCTTGGTCAATCCAAGTAAGTAATATCTCGTTCTCAATGAGAACAAGGTGAATGACAACGGAACAAACAAGCAAACTAACCATCATCAAAGACGTCCAGCTTCATAATTCACAAAGAAAAAGATTATTTCTCAATTGAATCACTGTGACGATCTAAAATCCTCTCGACTATTTTCATCAACCTGCATCTTCTTAAACATTGTGTTACTAGTTTGACAGTATGTGGAATGTTGATTTGAACAGACTTCTGATGTAAAATATTTCAGATGTTCATATCATCCACTACTAATTAATTCTTAATAAAATGCTATACGTCCTTGTATGATTATTTATTTGGATACACAATCCATCTGATCAATGCAAGACTGTTGAATATTTTATACATTAATATAATGTAGAAGAGAGTTCTTAATATCATTTACATTTTCGTTTCATGTTCGATTGCTGTTCATTAAAAACACATTAATATTATCAATTGTTCCCATCATTTTTAATTTTCACATCGATTGATTTACTTACCTAACAGCAAAAATTTTAACTTTTTAATTTTTCGTTCTTTTGCGATACTGATGTCTATTTGTCTAGAATGTTCTTGTTGAACTGTGAGCAGAATATTCCGACTTCCTCCACAACCCATGATGATGTCGGTTCAGAAGGTGTATTATACCAGGGAACAAGTGGAAATATACTCCATTGATGTCACAACACTTCCTAAAATTAATCCAATATATGCAGTTACTCACAACTATGGTTAAAGTTTTTGAAACATAGCTTTTTTATGGCTCATGTCTTGGTTTGAAAAACAAATATTAAACTTAATTGCTATAAGAGAATCGTATACTAAGACGAGGAAGATGATTGATAATTTTCAACTGTGTGTATTTGGATTTTTATGACTAATCATTTGTATATCTGATACACGCGCCCTGAATTTTTTTCTTTATATATAAGATTGATACTTTTTACTTCTACTGCGAATACATGCATTGACAATATTGTTTTATTCCATTTACATTCAAGACGTAGATAGGAAAAATAACCCGAAAAACGAAAAAAAAAAAAAAATAATGAAATAAATAATAAAATTGATAAATACACGAAAAGAATCAAAGAACACATGCGGAATATTGATACAAGCCCAACTCATAACGTAAGTATTGGCCAGCGCAATGACAACAGACCAAACCAGATCAACCCAGACTCAACCAGACCAAACCGAACCAGAACATGCCATGTTTTAGAGTATGCCTTTACAGAAATATTAAACTCCATTGTAGCTCTTATATTAGTCCATAACGTTGTCGTAATTAACTGACTTAACATGAATTGAATTTAAATTAAAGATAGACATTTTAACTGAAAAGACTTACCTTAAACAGGTCGATGTCGGAATGTCGCCATGATGAAGATGAATGAACTAGCACTGTGATTGTCTGACACAAAGTGTCTTTTTGTAAACAACGTATGCATCAATTTTACATGGGTTTTGGAAAAAATGTCCTGTTGTATTAAAATGCTAAAGATAAAAGAGCATTACAGTACATCAGCTCTGCGATCTCGAAAAGTAATCGGCTTTTCTCCTCTTTCCTTTTATGGTCATTAGCATACAGACTAGAGCAGATTGTGGTGGTATTATTTGATATAAGGATAAACCTATTTTCTCACCTATCCGGTATCACTGTTAATCACATGTTGACGTGTACTTTTAACGCTAGATAAGCATGGGGAAATTACGAAAATACATAGCTTTCTCAATAACAACCTCTTTGTGATTGATTTTACATAGTTTTAATTTGGTGGCATGTGTAACATTTTATTTCATTTATATATGCTGTGAAAACATACATGTTTTGATTACGTTTGTATTGATTAATGAAATTGAGACATGTGTCAAGTAATGGTTAGCATTTTTACCGCGAACAGCATGAGCGTTTTTGCGGGCGGATTTTGATCTATTACGTCAGTACGCCATTAGCATGTAAGCCAGGTTCAAGGTCTGATCTTGAATAAAATACTCTCATGTGTTTCGTTGATTCTGTTTTGTTCATATGGCAGTGTGGTATGATATACATGTGTATGCATTGAACTACAAAATTAATAATACTAATAATGTGAGTAGAATGAAATACTAACGTAAGTATTTTGTGTACATATGTAAACACTTTTTTGTCAGCCATACCATAATTAGTTAATTATTTACATCTGTAAAACAGAAGGGTGTATTTCTGCACGAAATATCGAGTGTGGGTAATTTGATTTCCCTCCCACGACTTATTGCTATATAGAAAGGTAATTTGGATTAAATCTAGAAGTTCTACATATTATCATTATTAAGATGACCTCTTTCTGCTACAATATGAGATACAATTATTTGATATGTTTTATTTTGGTTATGTGACACGATGGTGATGTTTCTATTTTACATCCACGAAGCATCATTTAAACAAGACAACTTTGATAAAAGGATAACTTCTATTACACACACAACAAACACATGTACCGTTCTCTTTTGCTTTCGATATATCGATTTGATTATATTTATAATTTTCAAATGATCCATAACTACTTGTCCATGTTCTACATATCCAGCGAGAGTTATTGTTCTGAATTTCGTTATCGCGATTTCGCTATCAGAAGAAAATGTTTTTGGCTTTAAATGAGAAAAGCATACTTCTAGCGTTGTCCTGTGATTGGAATACCTGATCAATTGTTATAATCTATAGATATAGGATAAAGAATGTTAACGGTGTAAACCGCATCCATTCCCTTATTGATTAGCTGTACGTTGATGAAGCTTTCGGACTTGTGTCACCTAGAGGTGAAAGCTGCACACCACAGGTATTGATATTTAAAATTGAGGAACAGACGTGAATGGTCAAGGGGGTTGAATTAATTTGAATATTTCCGTGATTCAGAGCAGAACGATGCTTATTTGTATGTTTCATTACTACGTAACTTTTTCTTCTTTTTATGTCTTATATATTTATAACTATTCCGGAAAGGAGGAGTGCCAATTTGGGCCTTCTGGCGGCCATGACCGATATTTTTTATTTCTTGTGTAGGAATTCCTTGGGGTTAGGCGGTCATGATATGACATAAAATTAAGGTCAGATCTGAGCCATTCATTAGTTATGGGGGGTAAAGTGGGCGGTAAAATTCATAAACAGCTCCATTATGACAAACCTACATTATATTTTTGGATTTTTTCTTCATGTAATAATGCATATCAAAACATTCATTAGTAAAATTGATTGAAAAAAATATTCCATTGTTGAAAAGTAGGTCATGGTAATTAAGCTCATTAATTGCGAATTATATTAAAGATGAACTTAATTTTCTGCCTTAATGTACATAAAAACAATACCTTTATCATGTACCATGTTTTAATAAGAAATATTTTTGCATACTTTAAAGAAAACAAAGAAGAGGCGGTGCTTTGAATTTTAGTTCGACAACTTTGACCATATGTCTGTATCTAGTGGTTTTACCGAAGTATTAACACAGAAATGGCTAATGAAAGATATCAATTTTAACCTCTAGTGTTGCATTTCACTCCACTATACATACAATGGTCGTACACATAGTTAGTTACTCATTGTCACTGTCAGACTCAGACCAGTCCTCAATCATCATTGCGTCATCAGCACAGCTGAGGTAGCTTGATGAGGCAGTTGGGTGTGCTATCCTAGGCTGGTGTCGCTCATAAGAAAGGTACCAGAGAACAGATGCAATATGGGCACAGCAGCCCACTACCCTGGCACCAACCTTACACTGGCAATACCAACCAGATATAGGAGTCAAACCAGGGGAATACTCAATCCACAGGTTGTACAGTTTCGAAGCAACATGTCTGGAACGAATCTGAACTTTAATTAAGCCAGGCTTTTCCCTGCATGCCATTAATTCATACTGGCCATCTTCAGACAAGTGCTCCATGGTATATGACTTTGCCTGCTTCAACTGATATACTCCCATGGTAAGATCTCTCAACTCCGGTTCTGTCAGCTGAGGAAAGTCAGGCAAACTGGCCTCATCAAGCTTGACCCATATGGCTCTTTTCCTAGCCAAACCTTCTTTTTCAACTTGAATTTGCAATTTATTGGGACATTTTGACAGAGCCAACATTCGCTCAGCAATGATGAGGTCATTGGGTTAATCAGAGGCAAGTGGGGGGCGAAAAGCATTACAAATTGCACACACAATTCTCACAAAATCACCTACAACTGGAATGAGAGTGTTGGGCAAAACATGTCCCAAGGTCTTCCACTGCTTAATCCGCCCATTTGCCGACTCCACAACCCACCTTACCTTTGTTACAAGACGAGATTCGTTTGCCTCAGTATGTGTGTGTTGTTTCTGCCCCTTTGGCAAGAAAAATGGCATTTCTGTTTTGATGCCAGCATCATTCAACAGTTCTGTCACATCTCTGAAGCCTCTGTCAACGACAAGAACATCATCATCTTGAAACCAATCCTTGATGTTCTCAGTGTTAGTTTTCAACATGTGTTTTGTAATGTTGGCGTCCTTATTTCGACCGTCTACTAAATATGGGCCTAGGACAGACAGTATATAGCCATCTGAGGCCACAAGAAGCATTGGTTTCAGGAGAGGGCGTCCTTTGTGCATCGAAAAAGAGCGTCGTTGGAAAGTATAGTTGCTGGACTTTTCAACATAAATATATGTGCCATCAGCAACAGCTATAGCGACATCTTCACCAGAGGCAAACATCTTCCTTGCAAATACCGTTGTATGGTTTTGAATTACTTGTTCTCTAGTGATGTGTTGCAGGCCAAGGTGTGAAGGAACGAAGTGGGTCATCAATGCTTGGCGAGCTGAATGAATACATTTTCCACATATTCTCTTTGTCATGTTGAACAGAGAAGCTAATATTGATAAAGACATGCCAGTCCTCAACTTTACAAGCAGGATGGCTAATGCAGTCCTTGTGCTTCTGTTCAGTGTAGAGTAAAGAGAGGGATTAACTGATCGTAAAAGGTCAGAAAATTGATTTTTATACAGACCTGTGAGACGGTAGTAATCTTGATCAGTTAATCCATCTGAGGAATCAAAGTCTAAACAACTTTTCTTTGAAGCAGCTGCCCTAAGTGTCAAAAGGATCTCTGATATTTCAGAAGAATCCAGTTCAGTGTCTTTGCTGGAATATGCGAGTGAAGATAGACTATCAGATGGGAAATCACCATTCACTATGTGGGAAGAACAACATCTGCAGGTGTTTGGGACAAGGATACCTGTCTTAATAAAAATCTTTACTCGCATTTCTGTTGAGAGCATTACCATTTTACTTTTACATTCCTCTCTTAACATTTTACAAATGAAACATCGAGATTCACCTAATGTAGCCCGTGGAATGTCAAGTTTGATTTTTTTTGTTTTCAGGTGACTCAAGCTGGTGCTCTACATCGCTACTAGGATGTTCAGTAGATGAATGGTGATTGTAGTATCTTCCCCTGCATTTTTTACATACGGGGTCACCAAACCTTAAGGCATCATTAATATTTGCTTACAAGTAAGACAGAATGTCTGTTTTATTCAGACAACAGAGCCTTACTTTATATTGTGCTTTACAACAAGCGCACTGCCTGTGCACTGGCATATTGATAAAAGAAAAGAAAACAG